TCAGAAAGGTATTTGTGTTGTTTCATTCATAAAATATGTTTTAATTTGATTGATAAACGTAAACAATGCAACTACTGTCTACTGAAAAAATATCCACTTTGCGATCATAAATATTTTCAGGAACTAAAGGTTATTTTGTTGGCATTTCAGCTATCTACATGAATATGCTGTTAACAAGGTTCTGTTTTGTTTTGTTTTGTTTTGTTTTTGTTTTCCTTTTAAGTTGGGAGAGGAAGGAGAGAAAATAAATGTAAGTTAAAAATAAAATTTAATGTAAAAAACAAAAGTGATCTACTGTTGAACTAGACAAAATGTGAAAGATCATAGGATACACACGTCAAGGTAATTGAATAAGAAGATGGAGGGGCTGCGAGGATGATGTAAACTTCTGAATAGATCTTTTGAGATGCTGTCATCAACATGGCAGGTGAACTCATAAAAGAGTGGACCCAAGGTCTGTGGAAGAAATTAACCTTGGGATAACTGATTAGAGAAATTACTCATTATTATTCTTATCTGTAGCTTCTCTAGTTTTGTTTGAGATTCTCAATCCAACAAGCACTTACGGGCCTACTAAGGTACGTATACTAGTTGCCAAGAATACAAAAAAAATATGAAAGACAATCTCTGTTCTCAAGAAGCTTACATTCTACCCATGTCACACATGTGAATAAGTCTACACATGACGACTTCTTAAGTTATTTTTTTCTTTCAACGAAGTTCTTCCTTCTCACCGTTCCCACTTCCCACTCCTTGTCCTCTACCCAAGAACTAAAGAGAAACAAACTCTATTAAAAACATAGTCAATCAAAACAAATTTCCACATTGGCCATGTCCAAAAAAAAATAATATTTATCTCATTCTGAACTCTTGAGTCCTTTACCTCTCTGTTAGGATGTGAATAACATGTTTCATCATGAACCCTCTAGAATCATTAGTCATTACACTAATCAGAGTTCCTAAATCTTTCAGTTGCTTGCCTTTAAAATCATATTGCTGTCATTGTATATAAATTGTTCTGGTTCTATTCATTTCTCTCACCATCAGATCATACAAGTTTTCCTATCCCCTTCCTTCCTTACAACACAAAAGTATTCTGTTATATTTATATACCATAACTTGTTCACTTATTCCCTAATTTATAGGCACCCCCTCAGATTCCCATTCTTTGCCACCTCAAAAGAGCTGTAAATATCCTCTAATTCCACCTACCCCTGCATTTCCCTATTGAATGAAATGTGTTTCTGTACCAAACTCTACATGTGCTCTTCCTTCCTTTAACCAGTTCAAATGCAAATAAGGTGGAAGTGTCAGCTTCTCCCCCCATCCCCTCCTTGTTTATATAGATGTTGACTTAGGCATCCCAATCATACGAGATAATTTCCCCTAACCTTCCTTTCCCTTCCCCATCCCCACCCCCCAGCATATTCCTTTTCCTCCTCTTTCTATTCTTTCTCTTACGATCATCAAAACCTTAAAAGAACCACCCCTCAGCTTCATCTAATTGGACTCCCCTTTCTGAACCCTGATGATACAGATCAGAGGGGACACGTGTATCATCTCTCCACATTAGAATATAAGTAGTTTACCCTTTAATTCATGGTCATTCATTCTTGTTTCCCTTATATTTATGCTTCCTGTGTTTGAACTACCTTAATGAAATAGCTCTGGGTCTTTTCATCAGGAATGCTTAGAAGTCCTCTATTTCATTAAGGCAGGATTATACTCAGTTTTGCTAGATAAATTATTCTTGGCTCTAAGCCCATATCCTTTGCCTTTGGGAATGTATTCAAAGTTCTCCTCTCCTTTAGAGTAGTGTCTGCTAAATAGTGTGTGATCCTGACTGTGGTTCCTCAGTTCTTGAATTCACTTTTCAAGGTATTTTTTTCTTTGACCAGGAAGTTCTGGATTTTGGCTATGATGCTCCTGGGAGTTTTCATTTTGGGGTTTCTGATGGAGGTGACCAGCAGATTCTGTTTCCACTTTGCCCTCTGATTCTGAGAGACCTTGGCAGTTTTAAGATTTCTTGAAATGTGACATTTAGGGTTTTTAAATTTTTTTTTTGAGGGGGAAGTCATGGCATTCAGATAATCCAATGATTCTTTAAAAAAAAAATTTCCCCACTGTTCTTCAGGTCAGTTGTTTTTGCTGAGATACCTTACATTTTAATTTTTTTAGCTTTTCGACTTTATTTTAATATTTATTGTTGTCTCATAGAATCATTCATTGGCTAGTCCTGTTGCTATTTTTTTTTTTTAACATTTAGGCAATTGGGGTTAAGTGACTTGCCCAGAGTCACACAGCTAGTAAGTGTCAAGTGTTTGGTCTGAGGTCGGATTCGAACTCAGGTCCTCCTGACTTCAAGGCTGGTGCTCTATCCACTGCGCCACCTAGCTCCCCCCTGTTGCTACTTTCTTAGGGTATGTTACATTATTCCACAATCCCAGATATAGGTCAAGGACCTACTAGTTCCTTCCAAAGTGGTCTGATCCAGGGCAAAGTCTGCTTGCTGCACTTCCCTCCTCCCAGTTCTGCAAGCTCTTGACCCAGGTTTCCATCAGAGCAACAAGAGAATGCAGCCAGACAGAGCCCCCATCCAGACTGACAACTGCAGGCTTCTCTGATCTGAGATTCCTGCCTTTGTTATTTTTCTGCAGGAAGACGGGGCTAGACATTGGAACTGAAATCCATTTCTGCTCCTGGGGCGTGTGTGGCCCACGCCACTGCTGCTGCTGGCTTCTGGACTTCTTGGGGCACTCACTAGGAATGCCACCCCCATGTGTAAGTTCCCTTCCCGTGGATCTCTACTGTGGATCTATGACCCAGGGCTGGGGAGTGGGCAACAAAGCTGCTAGTTGGTACCTGTCCCTGTTTCTGTGGCCATGTATGGGTCTGAGTCTGGCACCTCCTCTCACCCTTGTAGACGGCCTCTCCCTGGGAGCTGGAGTGCACACCCATGACATATTCTTGCTCTCACCTAGTCCCCAAAGTCAGCAGATCTCTCTCTCTCTGTCTCCCTATGCTGACCTGGGCTGAACAAAGGAGTCACTGACTTTTTTTGGGTTTTCCCATCAACACTCAGTCTGGTGCATCTTCCAGGTCTGGCGAAGGAGTTTTGTGGATTGCAGCCTGCTGCCCAGCTTCTTGAGAGACTGCCATCTTGACTCAACTGTAAATGGCACCTACATCACAGGTATATAAATGCTTATTTCCTCCTCCTTCTCCCTTTCTTTCCCTAGGGGGATTGGAAATGGCTTAACATAGAAGATGACACATGAGCTGATCTTAAGATTGTGCGAGATAGTGTTTATTTCATGATCACTGGGTGGTGTGCCATCACGTATTTTTATTTGTCTTGGGATTTCTTTAACATCAGTAATCTCCCAGTGATGTCGAATGACTTAGGTCACATGAAGCTCTCAGGAGAATTAAAATGACAAACCAAAGGACAGTGGAAAGCAGTATGGTGGGCACGAACAGGCTGTGGCAACCTTTCAGGGGCATCAAGTGCAAGCAGTGAAGACATATGACTGAAAAGGGAGATGACTCAAGTCAAGGAGTAGGAAGGAGAAATAACAGATGGATAGCTTGAATAGGGCATAGAAGTATCTCCAAGATACTAAGAGAAAAGGAGGAAGACCTTCAGCTGGTTTGAAAGATTTATGAAATGCTTGGATACATTTTGCTTTCTGAAGACTGATAGTGAAGGATATCTCTCAGGAGAGGCGGTGATCTCTAGGTGTAAAGCATACATTTGCAGATGTGGTCAGTGTGTTGTATTTGTTTTGCTTAGCTAGGTTTATTACAGGGAGGGGATCCTGGGGGCAGGAAGGAGTTATTTAAAAGTAACAGGGATGTAAAAAAAAAAAAGGGTACTAATGAAACACCTTCAAATGAAAAGAAAAATGAGGATAAGACTCCCAGGGGAAGAGGTATGGGTGGGGTTGTAGTGTATGTCAGTAGATGAACACACATTGATGAACTCACAGGTCCACTAAGTACCAAACTCCAAAATTCCCCACCCACATGTGCTAATGAAGCATATGAAACTGCTAATTCTTATTTTAGGTTTTCCCAATTCCATTAAGGAGAAACACTCCCGTTGTCAGCTTGGTGACAGTGGGCAAGAACACATCTCCATTGAGAAGACGAAATAATGGGAGGGGGTTTATACAATGAATGGTCTGACAAATGCTGCTCAAACATTTTAATTGGAATTTTTTCCATAATAAAATACACCTTTACTGAGAATTTCGGGAAAACCATAGATAAACTCTAGATAGCCACAGAATACTGGCAAGAAAAGAAGTTCAATACATGGCATCTTTAAAAAAAAAAAAAAGAGGAATGACAGAAAAAGTCTTTTGACAGAAGGAGGCATTTTTTTCAAGAAGCATCAGAGAACAGAAATGTGTGCCACACAGCAAGCGCCTGGCAGATCTGAAAAGGGCACTTAGAAAGGTAGGCTTTCTTGGAACTCGCTTAGCAGGAATCACACTTAGCAGAAAAGCTGGGATTATTAAACAAAGCAGAGCATATCAGCACATAAACACATTCAATAACTTTTATAGTTCACATGAGAAATAAGGCTGCTCTTTGTAAGCGGGTACATAAGCTCTAAAACATCAATTTTACAGGAAAATGAGATAAGTAAGAAGAATCAGGTCTTCGGTTGTTTTTTATCAAACTTGAAAGCAAAAGGCCTGCAGTAATTCCCTTTCAATGACACCTCATCAGAATGGAACTAAAACTGTCAAACACATCTATGTTTTTTTTTTTTTTGAGGCAATCGGGGTTAAGTGACTTGCCCAGGGTCACACAGCTAGTAGACATCTGAGGCTGAATTTGAACTCAAGTCCTCCTGACTCTAGGTCTATTGCTCTATCCACTAGGTCACCTAGCTGCCCCTAAATACACCTATTTACACAGAATAAAGGGAAAAAACCACTACGGTCAGTTACACTACAAACACATGATTTACAAATACACAGAAGACAGGATTTCTGATGAGTTAAACCAGTTTACACGACTACAGCATCTAATTTATGCACATTCAAAGAGGATTCCATGTTCCCACGACGCAGACACTCCACAGCCCATTCACTTTTCCCACTAATACAGATGGCAGTCTATTTGCTTCACCGATCTCCCTGGGCCCCTCTAGAATCAGTCCAGTGACACGTATCTGCGTGGCCCTCAGATTTTCCAGAAAATCCTCTTTCGGTAGAGCACGTAAGCAATGACAACCCAGAGGGAAGTGGCGACCAGGTTCTGAGTCAAGTGTTCCTTATGAGACTGGTAGTCCTCCATCTTCCACTGAAAAGGGAAGTAGTTCTCAAAGACCTCATGCCCAACGTACACCAGGATGGAGTTCATTCCTTAAGAAGAAATTTTAAAAAGACGACGTCAGCTCAAATACACCGTTCCAGAATCATGAGCTGGGGACTGCATCCTGCTTCTCTGAGACATACAGTATAACACAGAATGCCTCAAATGGGGGGTGCTACGCATTATCTGGCAGACATGCTTTCCTCCCTGTGAAGCCTCAAAGAGAAACTAGAATAATGTGATTTATATAGAGTTAAAACAGAGATCCTGACAATGTAATTGAGGGGGGAACCCACACCTGTGATTTCACTGATGGAGGGAACTGTCAATCTGAGAATCACCTCTACCAGTGTAGACTCATAACCTGCTCTGCAACTTTTATTCCTAGAGAGATGTTTGGGGAACTAACAGGTTAAGTGACTTGTCCAGGGTCACATAAACAGTACGTGCCAGAACTAGGGCACATGGAATTATACTACAGTGAAATCAAAAACTGCTGGAGGTGGAAGGGTCACCTAAAACTATTTCATCCATTCCTCTGCACTTAAGCCAAATCATGGACCTATTTTTTTTTTTTTGTTGAGACGTATGGCTTCATTAATGAGTGGGAACTCTCAGTATTGAAAAGACCCTCCACCAGAGCAGATCAACAACTCATTTGTAACTTAAAATCTTAGAGACTTAGAATAACAACCAGGACACAGAGACATCGGGTGAGTTGCTTGTGACCACCCAGGTAGCATGTGTTAGAGGCAGGATTAGAACCTAGGTCTGATACCAATGATGGTCCCCTCTCCACTATACCACACTATCTCTCTTGGGACTATCTAGTTCTCTGATCTTTTTCATTTGGGGAAAAGCATTATTGCTGCACAAAACCTTGGAAATCAAACTAAGCATATTATCGAAAGGCTGATGTCTTCCAGGAGGGACAATGCATTGGAGCTATTCCGACACTAGGTTCATTAATTATGAATATATGTCATCTGTCACAGACACCTCTTTTAAAGTCTCTATTCCCACAAAGGCATCCTTGTTACCCTACCTTACTAACACAAATGTTAGTTTTACAGAGTACGCTCAGCTCTAGGCAGGCTGTTTACACTGTTGATCCCTCCCTGCCCCCTTCGTGGAAAAATGCCCAAACTGGTTATTGTCCCCTAGGCCTCCAGTTGTCCAACTACCATCACAGGGAACCTTTGCTCTGGGAGAAATCTGGCTGACCTGGGTAAAAGAAGGGAGCTCCAGACCACAGTCTTGCCACATCCACCAAGAAATACATAAACAGGAGCAGAAGGAAAGCAAAGAAGCTCAGGGTTGTCACATAGGAGATGGACCTATGCAGTTGGGGGGACAAAAGAGAATGATATTTAGCCATCCGTAGACTAAAGCATACTGTAAAAGGATTAAAACAATATTTTGCTTTCTACTTACCAGAGATTTTTATTTACTGGAATGAAGCCTTCATTTTGAGAAAATTTGGTCAATACACCTGAAATAATACCCTGTAAGAAAACGGAAAAAAAAAAAGGACAAAGGTTTATATCTGGTGTGGGAAAATAAAATTTATACTACAACACAAAGGAAAAAGGACAATATGTTTTTAACAGGAAAAAATATCTTTTAAGATGCTTATATGATTATTTAACTCTCTGTAACAAAATAATACTTTAAAGTCATTTTAAATAAGTTACGATATATGAATGTGATGGAATACTATTGTGCTGTAAGAAATGATGATGTGGATGGTTTCAGAGAAAACTGATGTACAGTGAAGTAAGCAAAACCAGAAAAACAATTCACACAATAACAACACTGTTAGGACAACCAACTTTGAAAGACCTAGAAGCTATCATATTGCTTGCCTCTACAATGGTTGGGGAAGGGGCTGGAGGGAGAGAATTGAGAATTCAAAAAAAATTTTTTTAAAAAGGTTAAATAATAAACTGGGGGGGAGAATGACTTGGAAACTGATCAAACACAATAACCACACACAATTCCAGAGGTCTCATGATAAAAACATCCTGCCCACCCCCCGACAGAGGTGGCTCAGAGAGCAGATGGAGATATTTTTGAAGGAACATGGCCAATGCAGGAATTTGTTTGTTTTTGACTCTTCGTGTTTGTAACAGTTTTGTTTTTCTTGCTTTCTCAATGTGGGGAGAGGAGAGGTGAGGGAAAGAGAAAGTGGATCTTTCTTTGAAAGTAAAATAAAATAAAATTTAATTTAAAAATTAAAGTCATTCTGATAACAATATCTGATTCATCCTTACAACATTTATGGGAGAGAAACGGAAGAGGGCAGGAAGCCTGAATTGCCTCCCACTTCCACACACCCACAGTGAATCAGTGACCAAGATGAGGACGGGAGGATGATGGAACAGTGTCTCCCCAAATTCATTTTTTACATGAGATTCCAGAACACAGCATTGGAAAATTGCTCCTGGTCTTAATTTTACTTTGAAGTAAAAACTTTCATCCTATCTCTATTTTCTGTCTCATGGATTAAAAAAACAACACAGTACCAGACAACGGACACAGCTTGGTCCTTCAAGGTATTCTTAAAGTGTAGTTCCTTTTAAGCATAGATGAAAACAAGTGAGAGTAATGAATCAATCACTTACCAACATGGCACTCCACAGAAGGAACCGAAGCAGGATCTGCTTGTGTTGGTCTTTGTAAAACAAGAGGATTTTTCCAGCCTAGAAAAGAAACCATCACTAATGACACTGTTCATCTGTACAAAGCTCTGGGACTTAACAGGATCCCCTCATATACATGATCCCCTGTGAGCCCTGGAACAGCCCTGAGAGGGGGGCAGGGGTTGTTAGCATTATCATCCTCATCTCTAGAATTACAAGAACCCAAGCCTTCTGGTTCTCAAGCTGGGTCTCTTTTTGACTGCATCACACTGACCAAGACAGCAACAATATATAGTTATCCTTTCCACATTGCTGGGGTTAGGGGTACGGTACGGTGCCCCCAAAATCTGGAAAATCCATGTAAAATTTTTTGGCCCTCTTTTAGTACCAGAGAAGTCTGAGTTTTTTTCTTTTACAGGGTGTTGATATTATACACCATATTTTATGCATTTCTGAGTTTCTAAACTTTTTCTGTGATGTCTGCTGGCCTTTGTGTGTCATCTGCAGCTTCCACAAAACTCCCAAAAAATTCCCATTTAATTTCTTATGCTGACCCACCATATATCAAAACCTCGATGGGGAAAGTCACCATATGGAAGGGATAACTGTAATTTCCCACAATTTCTTTAAACAGTGGAATCTAGCAAAACAAATTTCCTTTTGGTCATGTTCCCCCCCCCCAAAAAGGATGTCTCAATCTGCTCTGAGTCCATCACCGATCTGTCAGGAGGTGGGCAGCATTCACTGAAGGATGGAGTCTAAGGGGCCTAAGAATTCCTGTCTTAACCTGGGCTTATGTGAGGATAAAAGTAAATAATGTCTGTAAAGTGCTTTACACACTAGGTGCTATGTAAATGCTAGCTGCTATTATTATCATTATTTTAATATTTTGAGAAGTGTATTTCAAATATAACTGGTAGCCTTTGTCATCCTGGGTGTTTTGTTTTATATACTGAAAAACATGATTCTGAGAAGGGGTCCATGGGTTTTCATCAGACATAAAAAAGGATAAAGACCCTTATCTAGATTAAACATTTCCCTAAAACGAGAAGATAAAACATGTGGAAACAACAGTGTGAAATATTATTCCTAGAGAAAATAAATCTGTTAATTGGGGGAAAGTTATTGCAATTATCTAGGCAAGAAGTAATGAAGCGGTTTAAAGACTGGCCTTGGTGTCAAAATACCCAGGTGCAAGTCATCTATTAGCTGTGCGACCATGGTTAAGTCAAAGGCAGTTAGGTGATGCAGTGGACAGAGAACTGCACCTGAGGTCAGGAAGACTTGAGGTCAAATGCAGCTTCAGACACTTACTAGCTGTGTGACCCTGGACAAGTCATTTAACTGCTTGTCTACCTCAGTTTCCTGATCTGTAAAATGGAGATAATAATAATAATAGCACCTACCTCTCAGGGTTGCTATAATGATAAAATGAGATAATATTTGTAAAGCACTTTGCAAACCTTAAAACACTATATAAATGCTATTATTATTATTACTATTTATCATTATTACTAAGTCACTTAGTCTTGCTGGCCTAGATAACTGTCTGACCATCAATTATAGATGAATTACTGAACTCTACCAGGAGGAGTTTCCAGCTTAGGAATTTCATATACTGATGAGCTCATAGAAGCACCCTCCACGCCACCCAGCTGCCAAGAAATAGGAAGCCCTAAAATGGAATGTCATTTCAATTGACAAAATAAATATTAAACAGGCTTTTCAAAATAAATAAGCAAAGCATCTTTGGGAGATGGGGTAGGGTAGCTCCCTTGTTCTGGTTCACCTGGCATTTATTACTTTGGAAGAAAATAACACTCTAAAGAAAAACAGTACCTGCACTCCTAAAAATGCCATCACAATGGAGTTGATGGTTCCCAAGAGTCCCTCTGGATCATAGGCCACTTTGGTGTGGTATATCACCTGGACAAGAAAGACAGGAATAAGGTGAATGATGCAGGCAGGCCTAGCACGTCAGAAGTGTCTTTCCCAACACCCTTGTGGAGGGTCTGATATCCACTATATATACAGGAAATTAACACGCAAGCCCAGAGTTGCAACCCTGATGGACGAGACTGACAAAAGATAAGAAAAAGTAGAAAGACATGACACTAATATGTCGCTAGTGAAGCTGTGAATTAGTCCAACCACTTTGGAAGGCAATTTGGAATTATGCTTAAAATCCAACTAAACCATCCTTACTCAGAGATTCCACCATTAGGCATATACCCAAGGAAGTCAATGACAAAAAAGAAAGTCTCCATTCATATACATCATAACATTTACAGAAGCATTTTGTGTAGTGGCAAAGAAGTGAACATAAAGTTTATTTAGCCCATCAATTGTAGTTGTTTGGTCATTTCCAACTCTTCATGACCTAATTTGGGGTTTTCCTTTTTTGTCCATTTGTTTGTTTTTTGGGTTTGTTTTTTTTTTGCTAGGCAATGAGGTTAGGTGACTTGCCCAGGGTCACACAGCTAGTAAGTGTCTGAGGCCGAATTTGAATTCAGGTCTTCCTAGTTCCACGTTGGTACTTTACTGTACCACCTAGCTGCCCATTAATTGAGGAAGGACTAAATAATGCTATGGTGTTATAAGAAATCATGATTGGGGGACAGCTGGGTGGCACAACGGATAGAGCACTGGCCCTGGAGTCAGGAGGACCTGAGTTCAAATCCGGCTTCAGACACCTGATACTTACTAGCTGTGTGATCCTGGGCAAGTCACTTAACCCCACTGCCCAGCAAAGAAAACAAAAACAAGAAATCGTGATTGGGTTAAATCCAGAAAAGCAGAGAAAGACAAAAACTGATCCAAAAGGAGTAAGCAAGGCCTAAAACATAAATGGAAAGAATGAAAAAAATTAAGGCGAACTCTTTAAATACAATGACCAAAAATGTGTCTTCCAAGTAGAGATGAGAAAATGCATCTCCCTTCCCTTTCTGCAAAGGTGAGCTTTTATAAGTGTGAAACACTAGATACTGTCAGACATGGCTGAGAGTCGGTTGGCTGGCCTTATTGGCCTGCTTTTTCCCTCCATTTCTTTTTATTTTCTTAATTTTCTTAATTTTTGTTACAACGGAAAGCTCTTCTGGCAGAGGCAGAGACAGGGATATATCTGGAAATTGAGGTGAGATAAAAAAAAGATATCAACAAAAATGAGATTTTTTTTTAAAAGTGCCTTTCCGTGGTCACATGCTTTAACCGAGACACAGGGGTCTTAAACAAAGCATCGATTAAAAGGTTTCAGGAAGGACCCCAGAGATCCAGCAATGAAACTTCCTGTGAACCTAAGATAGCAGAGAGTATACAGATCATATGGAAGTGTTAACCTACTTTATTTTAACACACAAGCCTAAGAAAACATTGTGCTATCATTAAAATGATGGTGCCACAGCTACTTCTCCTAATAAGCTCCTAAGGCTTATAAGCTTAAGCTCTGTGCAGTCTTCATGACACGATGCTCACTCTCTCTGACTTACTAAGGCCAGCCTAATCTTTGAGCATTAGGATGACACAATTAGAGGACATTTACCAGCAACATGACCTACCATGCCCCATATCTGATCCACTGCTGCCTCACTTCATAACCCAAAGGCTTTTAAAAATTCACGTAACAGAAACAACAAACAGCAAAAAGTAGCCCACAATTAAAATGAGCCTCAGTTCAGCCACCCTGCATTGAAGGCAGGCTGTTTTCAATGAACCACCCTTCCGCCTTCCCTTCACTTCTTCAAGGATGGGTTAATTTTACTCACATTAGGAGACGGGTGCTGGTAGATGTGGTCTTCTCCCAGAAGCCAACGATCGATATAGCCGGCAGCTCCTCCCGTACAATTCGGGTATTTTCCAAAGTCTCCAATACCACCAGGGCCAAGATAACCCCTAGAGATGGTAAAAGCAAATTCTTACTGTATGAAACTTCATAAAGAATAATAAATAATAAATGTATGAAAGAAATAATGAATATGAAATCAATTTATGAAACTACAGAATAAATTCATAATAAATAATAAATTTATGAAATTATATAATGAAATGAGTTATGTATGGATACAAACCTTGTATATTGGTTCACCTACAGGAGGGCACTTAACTGCCCTAGCCTCAGTTTCCCCATTTGTTAAATGAGTGGGTTGGAGTAGACGATTTCTAAGGTCATTTCCACCTCTAGATCTCTGATTCCCTATGAGCGTGAAATTTTTGATGTCTTGTCTGGCCTTGTTATTGTTCCCACACAATACTATCATCTTCCATCTCCATATCCGGAATGAACCCCTCCATACCTCGGATTTCCTTCAAAGGACAACTTAAGCATGACTTTTTACATACTTTTTACAACCCTTCATATCAAATTATGTTGTATATCTCTTGAGTATACATATATATGTTGTGTGTGTATGTGTATATTTATAGATGTACACATATATCTATAAATATAGTGAAGTAGACAAAGACAAAAATGGAGCAATGCCTGTCCTCAATGAGCTTATATTCTATTAAAGGAGATGCATGTATACATATACATGTACATACACATATGTGTATATGTTTTATATACATATATCTACATGTGTATACAGATATCTGTGTATACCTATATCTATGTATATTTTTATATATATACACATACACATGTATGCACACACACACAATCTCCTCTAATAGAATGTAAGTTCCTTGAGGGCAGGCGTTGCTCCATTTTTGTCTTTGCATCCCTAGCGCCCTTCTGAGTACCTGGTACCTAGTAGGTGCTTAATGAATGCTTGTTAACTGATTGATTGAACTTCTCTCCCATCATAGGAGCTTAGGAATAAGGTTTATCTTAATTTAACTCAACAATTCAAGGAGCATTTATTAAGCACTTACTGGGGACCAGGCACTGGTGGTCCAAAGATAAAAACACAAAGAGAACCTGCCTAGAAAGTACACCACGTACAAAGATAAGTAAATTCAAAGTAATTTAAGCAGGGAAAACAACTGTAAGCATTGGAGACCTCTGGCAAATGGTGGTTGGGAAACTGCACTGAAACATTTCTCAGGACACACTGCAGATTCCTTTCTTTAGGCCTTTTATACGTTAGAGAGCTAGGGGAAGAAAGATTCACTTACCAAAAATAGCTCTGATAGAGTGAAAATTATAAGATATAGGAAAAAATTGCTATCATGGCAGGAATGACAATAACTGGTATTTATATTGCACTTTTAAGGATATTAACTGCTTTCCTGGATGCTTTCTCATTTGAGCTATCAATTCCAAGCTTCACCACCACCACCACCACTACTACCACCACCACCAATACTACTACTACCAGTACCACCACCCACCACCATTCCTACTACTACTACTACTAGTATTATTATCACCATTATTATTATCATTCCCCTCACTTTGCAGATGAGAAAACTAAGGCTCAGAGAGGAAATCGATTTACCCACCTTTGTCCAGCTGGCAAGTATCAGAAGCAGGATAAAAACTCAAGTCTTCCCCCCTAAGCCCAAGTCCAGGACTCCACTCACTATGCAGCACTGTCTCTCCTTTTTAACGCCTCCAAAAAGTAAGGAGAGCATTTACTCACGTTGGGCAGCCAGGAACTGGTAACAAGAAGGTCACACACACCCAAACGGCCTCCAACATCAGAATGAAAATCCACTGTGGCCAGTATGAGATGATATCCTGGAAAGAAGAACAAGGCCTCTCCAATTGTGAATGGCAGAAAAGGAAATAGAAATGACTGGAAAAATGAGCTTTGTGCAATATTCTAGGCAAACGCCCTACCCATCATGGACCCTATTTTGGGATGTTGAAGGAAAAACTAGAGATGAATTCCTGTGGGTTCTAAGTTGTTTGTTCTCCTATGAAGAATCACAATGAAAACATTCATTAAGAGAAATCAATAATTTCCAAGAACCCTGCAGCAGGCTTTATTTAATAGCCCTCAGTGTTGTTTCTTCTAGCTTCCAGTTCACATACAGTTTAGAATTTCCTAAATGAAATTACATGAGTAAATAATGCACTTATTAAGCCATGCTGTAAGTTGTAGAATATTTAGCCACACTAACATTAAACAATTAAAATATTATAATTAAATTCCTACAAAATATCCCTGGTGAGAGGAAATGGGCAGGGAGAGGATGGGATCCAGAATAAATCAACACTACGACGGCTACTCGTGACAAACTTGTGAAAACTAACAAACCAGTCCTGGGTTAGATCCATTTCCTGAGGAAAAGCTGAGTTATCGCTCTCAAAGCCTGGGGTTCAGACCTGTGATTTCATCAATGAAGGGAAAGCTCAGTGCAGAAACTTCCTCCACTAAAGCAGATTGCAGTTGTCAAAAATGTAGAGTCTAAGCCCTCAGACACATAACACTTACTAGCTGTGTGACCCTGGGCAAGTCACTTAACCCCACTGCCTAGCTCCCCCCCCCAAATGTGGAGTCTAACAGTCTTGGGGGCACTGAGAGGGCTGAATGATTTGTGTCTAAGTCCTAAAGCCAAGGCCTGTACTCTAAACACCACGTCTCTGCAGCACTGCCTCTCATGAACGACTCAAATGACTTTTCCAAAGCACTTTGCAAACCTTAAAGTGCTATATAAATGCTAACTATTTATTACTGTAAATGTTCAAAGATCATCATAAGATCATCATGGGAAGAACCGAGAAGATCTGGGATGCACTGTTAAACCTGCTAACAAGAAACTACCTACACTGAAAGAGGGGCAGGAAAAATTAAAGAAAGAATCTTTAAATGCCTGCCACATGGTAAGCTCTTTATAAACACCTGGTGACTGATTGATTGACTTTAAGTTAATGATCAGAATTCAGGAAGATGGGTCTTTCTGACTCCAGGCCCAGCACTCTATCCCCTGTCACCTAGCTGCCCTGTAATCTAATTAGAATGGGATTTTTCTTCCTATTATTTCCTCCTGTATGCTGCTGTTACTATATAGAAATGGTGGCAATTTCTGTGGATTAATTTTGTTTCCTGCTACTTTATTAAAGCCATTACTAATCTCAAAAAAATAAAAATAAATTTTTAAAAATTGAAAAAAAAAATAAATTAATGATCAGAGCCTTCAAAAAAGAACACACACATATACACACACATATATATTTCCACCAAAATTGAGATTGCAATAGTTTTCTGGAGGGAGATGGCCTGTCTAAGTAGCTAAATGCAATTCAAACAATTCCAACTATACAGGAAAGGAACCTGAAGATGCAGGATCTTATTCTGCTCTTTTCCCCTGTCTGTGTCTAACTTTGGGCTGAAGTCACTGAGCAAAAACAGAAAGGCTGACTTGGCTTGAAGGAGTGTGACAATCTCTTCCCAGAGTTCCTCCGCCTTTCATCCTCTTTAGTGGCTACTGCTGTATGGAGCGGTGGTTATCCTCAGGGTGGCCTTTTTCCCTTACGCTCCTCACAAGCACCGCACGTCACAGAATGATGCTTCCTGCTGCCGTGAGGCCCGTGATAAAAGCAACTCTGCCCTTTTATTTTTCAGCCTCTCTAAAGAAGACTCATGAGTCATCTTTCCCTTTAGTGGCCACTTCCTTATATCTGCTAGTTTCGCTTACAGCAAAAATATAACAATAATAACTATTATTATAATTACAATAATGATGGTGATGATGTAGTAACATTTACATAGCTTTTGAAAGTTTGTAAAACACTTCACAATTATTATCTTATTTGATCCCAAAAACAACCCTGTGAAGTAGGTGCTATCATGGTCTCCACTTTACAGATGAGGAAACTGAGGCTGAGATAAAGGTTAAGTGATTTATCCACAGTCACACAGTTAGCTAAGTATCTGAGTAAGCATTTGAACTCTCGTATTCCTGACTCTTCGAGCAGGGATCCATTATACCAGCTAGCCAGCTGATATGGTCCAAATCCTCCACAAGTATGTCAACCTGTTGGTCACTTGGAGAGGGATGTTCCTAGAAAGGACCAACAGTTACATTAGTGTTTACCTGAAAAACAATGTGATTCTTAGCAGGCTCTGTCCCCTTTTCCACCCCTCAGCCACTATCCCTACAGAAGGAGAGCTACCCATGGCTGAGGGCCACTTTGGATTTTTCTGTGCCCCCCCCCACCCCCGTGGGTTGCCGTGGCCAAAGACTCCATCACCTGGTTCCTAACCTGCTGGTGATAAGCCAGAGAGCCTCTGCACATACAACTCCCTCCCTGAGAGAAGACACAGGCGATCCCTCTGACCAAACATCTGCAAAGAGGGAAGGGGAAATACCCACAGGAACACACAGAAGTACATTAATGACTCTGCTTTAAGAGCAGCAGCTCAGTCTCTCAGCAGAACCTGAACTAACTTTACATAGTCACTGAAATGTTATAGACACAGATGCTCTATACCAATGATGAAGAATACAAAGAGGGGCAAAGAGGAACTATCAGATCAGGTTAGTGGGGATGTAGTGAGATTATTTCATGCCTTTGCACCCGAGCCAAAGAAGAGATATGAGAAGACACGTTGCCTTATCCTGGTTCCCTGACAGGAGTCCACAGGTGGGGGACGTTGCAACATACTGTCATGTTTTTTTCCACATGTTATTTGATTTTCCTGAATCTTGTTTCTTTTTCCATTTTTAAAAAATATTTTTATAAGAAATGGCTGCTTGGGAAGGGGAAAAGGAAAAGGATACAGGGAAAAATGGAGGCAATGTTAAGAAAAAAAAAACCATATATATATATATACCACCAAAGTCATTGGCACTGTCCAATGGTTCTACATCAAGAACTGGTATGATTTTTATCAATGGGAAAACATTGTTTAGATTATACTGTGTTATGGGAATGCTTGTTTTATTCCATAAATTAAAAAGAAATAAATAAAAGAAGATGCAAAAAAATTAAGTTAAATTAAATTTATATATATATATATACACCAATAAAATCATTTTTTAAAAAATAGGCCACCTGAGCAAGAAGTTGGTATATGATGAAGCAAGATAATACGGACATGGTACGTTATGATGGGGCAGGGAACCTACATTTAAAACATAGGGCTGTTATATGACTACAATCACAAAACACTCTTTCCAGAAATAGAGACCTGAATAGTTGAAGAGATATTAACCACTCTTCAGTGGAATGAACCAATATGATAAAAATGACAATAATACCTAAGTTAACTTATCTATTTAGTGCCATACCAATCACTAACCACAGGATTATTTTATGGGGATGTTAAATAACAAATTTCAGCTAGAGGGACAAAAGGTCAAGAATTTCAAGGGAAAGAATATTTTTAAAAAAGTGAGCAGAAAGGGACCCAGCAATGCCAAACAGCAATTACCAGAACTCTTTGGCACTGGCTAAAAAAATTAGAAACATCAATCAGTGCAGCAGATTAAGAAGACAAACGTAGCATAGGATTTGATAAACTCCAAGACTCCAGCTTCTAGGACAAAGACTCACTATTGGATACAAAGTGCTGGGAAAGCTAGAAAGCAGTTTGGCAGAAATTAGGTTTAAAGCAGACCACATCGCCTACCATATAACAAGGTAAGTTCCAAATGGGTACATGACCTAGATATAAAAGGTCATATCATAAACAAGTTAGAATAGCAAGGAAATGAAATACCTGTGGCAAACATGGACAGGGGAAGAGTTCATGATCAAATAAGGGACAGAAAGGAAAAAAGAAGATAAAATGAACAATTTTTATGACAAAAAGGAAAAATGACAGCTGGTGGAGAAGCTGTGGGAAAACAGGCACCTTAAAGACACTGTTGATGCTGTGAATTGGTCTGGACGTTCTGGAAAGCAATTTGAAACTACATCGAAGGTCACTAAACAGTGCACACCCTTTAACCCAGTGATACCACTATTAGCTTTATACTCCAAAGAAATCAAAGAAGGAGAAAAAGGATCATATGTAAAAAAAAAAAAAATAAAATAAGTATCGCAGCTCTTTTTTGTAGGAGTAAAAAACTAGAAACTAAGGTGTGGGAGGGAAGATGGAGATCCCATCAAATGCAGACTGGCTGAACAAATTTAGATAAATGTAGAAAGTGCAGTGTTATTTCACCTTAAGAAATGACAGAAAGGACAGTTTCACACAAATCACGGAAGGCTTTTGTGAAATCATGCAGAAAATAGTGACAGAGCCAGAACAATTTATATAATAATAACATAGTAAAATCAAACAACCCTGAAAGACTTAACGCTGAGCAACAAAATGACGAACCACGAATCCAGAGGACCAATCATGAAACATGGTACACAACAATTTCTGGACATGGCCATATAGAGTTTGTTCAGCTTGACTGTTCATATCTGATTTATATAAAAAAGGGGGAGAGGCAGTCTTAGTTTTCCTTCTTTCAATTTGTGCAGAGGGGATTTGGGAGAATTTAATTTAATATTTACTGAATTTAATATTTCCTTAAATTATTAATTGAACTTAATATTTACTTAAAAGAAAAAGCAAGTTGTCCTTTTGAAGATTCGCACTTTCACGTTCAGCCTTTTTTCTTCTGTTCTACTTTATATGTGTACATGATCATTTTATTTGAAGACAGTTTAGAATTTTAGAAAATTAAAAAAAAAAAAGACGTTAACTGAATCCCCAGAGTATTATTTTTTCAAAGAAGAGGGTCTCACCATCGTGCTATTTTCAGGCACGGCTCTGGCAAAGAGAAGCTCTAAAACCGCAACCACAAGATAGGTCAATCCCAGCCGCTGAAGCACTCCAGGGATGCGCAGCTTATCCCAGGACACTGGGGAAAATGCAAATTAGAGTGTAAGCCAACGTATCTCATTTCATAGCTGGACCATAACCTGTCTTCTGCAAAAGAAAGCCTACCGAGGCTATGTCTGAAGAGATCTTTAGAAGCATTCGGAGATGGGCACACAGCTCATGCCTGAGTCTTTCAGACTCTGGTCACTAAGGAATCTGAGGTCAGACCAGGGTGGATCTGGATCAGAAGACCTCTTCAGTTTCTCTGTTGTTGGTGTTGAGTCATTTCAGCAGTATCTGAATCTCTCTGACCCCATCCGGGGTTTTTTTGGCAAAGGTACTAGAATGGTTTGCCACTTCCTTCTCTAGCCCAGTTTACAGATGAGGAAACTGAGGCAAACAGGATGAAGCGACTTGCCCAGGGTCACACAGCTAATAAGGGTCTTTCTTGACTCCAGGCATGGGCCTCTACCCACTGTGTCACCTAGCTGCCCTAAGCCTCTCTCTGGCCATCTACTTTAAAGTTTCTCTGCCCTCCAGTCCAAGTGAAGGGCATTGATGCTGACAGAATCATGGATCTTTTGATAAGAGTTTCACCTATCACCACCTCTATTAGATCTAAGTCCCAAGCCTTTCTCTCCAGTCCTGACCTCTTCTGTCAGTTCCACTCCCATAACTTTAATTCCAAATTTCTGACTGCCAACTATTTCCATTGGGATGTCCCATTGTTAACTCAAACGCAGAGCTTTGAATGAGTCCTCACCGCTTAAGAAATACAGTCTGGAGGGGCAGCTAGATGACGCAGTGGATAGAGCAACAGCTCTGGACTGAGAAAGACCTGAGTTCAAATGCAGCCTCAGACATGTGACACTAGCTGTGTGACCATGGGCAAGTCATTTAACTCCAAATGCCTCACCAATTAAAAAATAAAGGACAGTCTGGATCGGCATTCAAGTCCCTTCGTGATCTACTTCAACTGTCCTAGCCTTTTCTTCCATCTGCGATCTCCTTAAATGAAACCACTGCCACAAGTAAGTTCGTCTGCTTTCCCTTAAACACCCTCTCCTCTCTCCCTGGCATTCTCTCTACTCCTAGACACACAGAGAGTTGTGGAGCCGTAATCATATCAGTATTGTCATTGCTACTAGAAAGGATGAGTCAGTTTACTCTCTCATGGCTCCAATCACCATCTCTGTAACTCTCTACCCCCAAATATTCCCCAAAATGTGTTATCCCCTCCTATTAGAATGTAAGCTCCCCAAGGATGGATGTTTCCATACAATAACAGGAATTACTGTATTTGTACCATCCCAGTGCTTAGTACACTGTCTGGCACATAGTACGTGCTTAGTATTTTTTCTTTTATTCATTCTGGTTCAAATCTCACCTTCTCTGTAAAGTCTTACTAGAAATGATCTCCCTTTCTCTGAAACAACCAACTCCTGCAGCATTTGAATTGTCTCAGTCACGTGGCACTTATACACTGCCTTGAACTGCAGCGACTCATGTAAGTGTCTCATTTCCCCAACTAGATTTTAAAGGCTGGAAGATAACAATGGCACATTTTACTTATTTCTGTCTTCTACAACTCTTAGCAGCATAATCTTGTACATTAAGTAAATGATCAATAAACACTTGCTGATTTAGGCTCATAGGTTTAGAGCTAGAAAGAAACTTCCAGGTCATTTCACCCAAGCCTTTACTTTAAAAATGAGAAGACCAAGGCCCAAAGAGTTAAAATGACTCTCCAGAGGTCACACAAGTAATAAATAGCAAAGTTTGGATTTGAACCTAAGTACTTGAACTCCAAATTTACATTTTTTTTTCAATGCATCATGCTGCCTCCATTGAATGAAATTTAAAATGTATAAAAATGAATTAAAAATCCAGTGCCTAACCAGCACCCCACACACAAAAAAAAAAAACCAGCTAGCTTCTCCTCCTGACTTTCCAATTTCTACTCATGTACCACCATTCTCTTAGTCACCAATCTGTAATATTCAGTCCTCTTTGACACCTGCCTCCCTCTCACTAACTACTACTCACATTCAATTGAATCACCTAGTCTTATGTACTGTTCTTTCACAAAGCATCTCAAATCAGTCCCTTCTATTTTCATACCCATTTTGACTCCTAATTAAAGCCTTTATTCATTTCACACCTAGACTATTACAACTTCGAGGATTCTCTGCCTCCAGTCTCAACACCATACCATCTATCCCATACATCACTGCCAGATTAATCTCTTTAGTTACGTTACTTTTCTACTTGAGATCTGCAATGGCTCCTGTCTTTCTAAGGAATGAGTGCCAAACTCTGCCTGGATCCAAGGCCCTTCACAAATCTTTGCCCCTGTGTGGTCCCACCTTATTTCCCATTATCTGCGTATAAGAACCCCTCTATACCAACCATACTAGTCCATTTGCTGACCTCTAAACTTCACACCCTTTTGTTCATACCATTTACCCCACTCAAAATGTCTTCCCCTATATGTTTCATGTGTCATATCTCCATAGATAAGACTGCACAGTGAATCTTACACTTCTTTGTACTCCCTTCAGTAACAAGCCCAGTGCCTGTTTGCTGAGATTGAGGGATTACGTCATGCTAAGACTCACACCCTTCCTTCAGGCTCCATGCACCAGTGATAAATAACGCATTAAATGGGATCAAAGACATTATTCCTCGAGGGCATCTCAATCACCACACAGGAAATGAAGATGAATTCATGTTGTTTAGCCCCATCCAACTCTTTGTGACCCCATTTGGGGTCTTCTTGGCAAAGATAATAGAGTACTTTGCCATTTCCTTCTCTAGCTCGTTTTACAGGTGAGGAAACTGAGGCAAACAGGGTTAAGTGACTTGCCTAGAGTCACACAGCAAGTATCTGAAGCCAGATTTGAACTCAGGTCTTCTTGACTCCAGACCTGGCACTCTATCCACTGTGCCACCTAGCTGAATTCATGGGCCAGCTACAAAAAACCTGTGTTATGAAAACTACTGAAACAAAGGTAACTGTGGGGTTTAATGGAAACATCAAAAAGTGACAAGACTTGGGTCTAGTGCCTTCCTCTATAAGGTTACCCACCACCTACTCGTATGCATGTACCTATTTATGTACATATTGTCTCTTCCATTAGAACATAAACTCCTTGAGGTCAGGAACTGTTTCACTGGTGTCCTTCTATCTCCAGTACTTAGCAATTCATTCTTTCTTTTTCTTTCTCTTGTATTTTATTCATGTGCGTGTACGCATGTGTATATATGTATATATGTAGCTGTGTATATACACACATACACATGTGTATGTGTATATATGTAGCTGTGTATATACACGCATACATACTTATGTGTATACATACAGGGAAACATATACATATATGTGTCTATCTACATATATAGAAATATTGATGCTGTCACTATCTAGATGTATGACCCCACACAGCCCTCTAATCTCTCTGTATCTCAGTTGTAAAATAAAGAGTTTTAACTTGATGCCCCCTAACTTCATTCCCATCTCTCAGATTCTCCATGACTATTCAGAAAAGAACTTTTCCCCAAAATAAAAAAGATATTGGGAAGTAAATACATTCCTATTAATTCACTCCTCATTATGCTGATACATATTTGAAATTAATTTAACATCTTCCCCTTACATGATACTATTTAATTTCCATCTTCCAACTTGCATTCAGTTTTTTAAGAGAAATGAAACAATTACTCACATGGTCCGAGGCAATAATTAGGATTCACAATCAGGACTCCCATAACGCAGAGCAGAAGACTCCTCCACAGAATTTTCCCCAGCAGCTTCCATTTGGAACATCCTCGCCTCAGCATGGAGCTCAGGGAGAGGGCAATGGAAGAGCCCATGATGAACACGAACCTAAAAAAAATAAAGAATTAGTTAACAAGAGGTGACAGAGAGGTGCTTTTTTTTTTTGTTCCTGGAGAAGGTGTCTTCAAGTTCTGCTATAAAAGCACATTTGTGAGGACGGCTAGACATCCCCAAGGACTGACTATGTGAGCAGTTTTGGAAACAGACAATGAAGTTACTGGAATCCAAATTAATTTGCCCTTAAAACTCTCTGAAAGAGAAACAAAAAACTGAAGTTTTTGTATTCTCACCTTTGCCAAATCCACCCTTGGCTCCTGAACCAGGAAAAGGGGAGATAATATTTTCTCTCTAACTACAAGACAAAGCGGTTATCTGAAACTCAGATCAATGCAATGACCAATCATGACTCCAGAGGATTAGCAAGGAAATAATCATCCACTTCCTAATAGAGAAGTTATGGACTCAAGATGCAGAATGAGACCTATATTCTTGGACATAGCTAAGAAGGGGATTTGTTTTGCTTGACTATGGATATTCGTTACAAGGGTTTTAGTTTTTCTTTTTTCTTTTTCCAAAGGGAAGGTGAAATAGAAAAGAGAGAAAATAATTGCTTGCTAATTTTTGAAGGACATTTTAAAAAGATATCTGAACCCCATCTTCTTATTCTCTAACTAAACTTCCTTGATACTTCAAACAAACAAAACCCAAAAAGCTAACTGAACTTATTAGAGGATCTTGACAAAGGCATTACTTTCCTTGGCTTCCTTTGGCTTCTTTCCTGAAGTCAACAATGTCCTGAGCAATAAATGGGAAGATGATCCCTAAATACAGGGACCATTCATTTCTTTATGTAGCCCCTCCTACAGAATTACATGTAAAAAGCTTAATAAATATACACTGGAGTTTTGTAATAACTAATGTAGTCTCCTCTAACATGGAATCCGCTATCACACAAGTTCTAGAAGCAAAAAGCCTACAAAACAAACCTTAAGGATGGCTTTAGAATAAAGCTCTGATATAACCTGGATGGAAATGTTCTTGGAACTGTTGATTAGGGCATTAGAGTAGATGAGGGGAAAAAAATTACTGCCAACTTACCATGGAAACACAAGGTCTGCCACAGTCAAACCTGGAGAACAATACAACAACAGTAAGGAAAAGGGGCTCTGGAATGAGCATCCTTTCCAATTTTCAAGATGGGTGGAGAGTCCTTTTACTACCTGGGTATCAGTTTACTCACTGGTAAAGGCAAGGTGTCAGACCAGATGACCAAGTAGTCCCTTCCCACTCTGGATCTATGACCGTTTGACCCACATGATACTATGCAAACAAACCAACCCTCCAAAGATGAGAGAAATGTAGAAGCTTCATTTGACATTTTTTGAAGAAAACTCTACTGAAAAAATATTATTTGTTCTCTTTATGCTCTATGAAGTCAATGAGTCAAAAGCATTTATTGTGAGCGTCTACTGTGAAAAGCATTGATCCAGAAACAAGGAATCAGAGCACTGAATGGGAAGAATATCATTTTAAAGCAGTGTCCCGAGGGCTAGTCCTAATCCATTTTTCAATGACCTCCTAAGCCAGGTTTCACAAGAATTATTCAGGGTCACATAAAAAGTTCCCAGCACCCCAATAAAGGTGGCAACTTGGAAATTAAGATGTTGATAAGACACAATACTCAAGAGCAAAAGGCTTGTGACAAAGCCAGACATGGAATATGGCAAAGACAATAGAGGGCCAAATTCTTGTCATTTTACTGCAGAGCCTCAGGAGGCATTTTACATAGAAACACCTCCAAAAGCTATTAGCTGCTATTGTTGGACTTTGTTTATGGGCCCATGGTCTGCTAGATGAGGCATAAAGTCTCATGAAGTAACTGATTTCAATGGACCAACCATCTATAAGATAAACAACATGGAGGAGGAAGGTCGTGACCTCTGCTTCTACGGCTTCAAGGTAGGACAAAAGACTTCGTTCTTCATATTTCTCAAAAGCTGACCGAAATAGGCCCAACTGACTTTAGCAAATACTTTACCATTCCAGCTCTCATGTTTGAAGAACCAGTATTTTCCTCCTCCATAATTAACGAAAATCATGATGATAAGAGCAATCCTAAAAGAACCAAGAAAACACAAAAGAGGGCAGAGTTCACATATCAAGATAGTGTGGAAGAGTTAACAACACATAAACATTTTGTACCTGCAAAGAGAAGTCTTATGTTAAAAACTTCCCAGCATCCCAGCATCACGGTGCCCGGCACCATGGAGGCCCTTGTTGGCTGACTAACTGACTTAATACAAGATGAGTTTTATGGGTAACAAGTTATATTGCCTGACAATTTCTACCAATTAGAATGAGTCACTTTAAAGTCTTCTTTTACCCATATTGCTTAAGACTTGTAATGGATTAGAGGGAACTTGGAGTGGTACTAATCTATATCACTGGGAAAAGAGTTGTTACCTCTAAGGATGAAAGCTTGTTAATTAGACTTCGGTGTGTTCTGGAGACATTCTTAAGAACTCTTAGCATAGAAATTACTTTTACTATAAAGTTATATGTACCCTCTGGCAAATCTCTTTCTTTTCCCAAACAGACTACAGATTGAAGGATGATGGAGCAGAAGGGAAAAGGAGATGGATATAATAACAAACAATGAATGAAGCCTCTGAGTTGTCTTGAAAGATGCTGAATTTTAATTTAAAAACAACGACATTTTATTTAAGTACTGGACTAGGCATTAGGGATACAGAATTTTGTTGTTGTTATTCACTTGTTTCAGTCGTGTCCAAATCTTCGTGACCTTATTTGGGGTTTTCTTGGCAGATACTGAAGCAGTTTGCCATCCTTCTCCACCTTATTTTACAGATGAGGAAACTGAGGTAAACAGGTTTAAATGACTTGCCCAGGGTCACACAGCTAGTAAGTGTCTGAGGCCAGATTTGAACTCAAGAAGATGAGTCTTCCTGACTCCAGGCCCAGAGCTCTATGCACCATGGTGCCACCTAGCTGCCTCAACTAGAATCTTGGGAGAAGCAGGGATAACACAAGAACACAAACAACTGTAATATTCATAGGACTGTGGCAAGTATACAAGAGAGAGACTAAGTATTATAAAGAGAGGAATCGGGAAACACTTCACAGAGGAGGTGGCATCCAAACTAAGTCTTCAAGGATAGATAAGATCTGATAGGCTAAAATGACTAAGAATGCCAAGGATGGAGGGGTACCAAGGCCCAAGGCCTGGGGATCAAGTCTCTCATACTATGCTCTTGGAAAAGATGGAGAAAAGTGGGCTAGAGGACGGTATGGTTAGGGAGATTCAAGAGTCACTAATAGCTGGGTGTCAGTTTGGAAAGAAGTCTCCAGCAGAATGCCCCAGCCATCGGTGCTATTAATATTTTGATCTATGACTTGGATAAAAGTTTAAGAGACGTGCTTACTAAATTTGGCAGCAGATAAAACTGAGAAGGATAACAAACACAACAGGTGACAGAATCAGTCAAGTCAAAATTCAAAGTGACTTTGACAGCAGGGAAATCGGGCCACGCTGAATAAGATAATAACAGCTAGCATTTATAGAGTGCTTTAAGATTTGCGAAGTTCTTATCCTCTCAATAACTCTGGTAGGTAGGAGCTATTATTATCTCCATTTCATAAATGAGGAAACTAAGGCCAAAGTTAAGTGACTTGCTCAGGGTCACACATCTAGGAAGTATCTGAGGCAGGACTGGAACTCAGTTCTTCCTGATTCCAGTTCCAGTACTCTATCACTGTACCACCTAGCTGCCTCATGAAATTTAATGATGAATTTAATAGATATTTTTATTTTTTAAACTCAATGAACTTCAGGGCAGCTAAGTGGTGCAATGGATAGAGCATCAGCCCTGGAGTCAGGAGGACTTGAGTTCAAATCCAGCCTCAGATACTTACTAGCTGCGTGACTCTGGGCAAGTCACTTAACCCCAATTACCTCCCCCCAAAAAGATAGAAAAATATTTTAATTTTAAAAATAAAGTAAATGGAGCCAGAAAGATTAAGTCCAACTCTGCCTGTGTGAGCATTGGCAAGTAGTTCAACCTCTCAGCAATTTTTTAGAGTTGCTGAGTTTTAACTTGGTTTTAGCTATTAAAACTGAGAACAGTTACAGATCTGCATTGTTAGCCAGAGTTTCTTCACTGGTACTATCTCTACACAGAAAATCAAGGTCGGGGTGAGGAGAAGAAGAGGGCAGGAGAGAGGAAGAATAAGATAGGTTAGGAACCAAGATGGTGGAGTAAAAACAGGGACTTGGGGCAGCTAGGTGGCACAGTGGATAGAGCACTGGCCTTGGAGTCAGAAGGATCTGAGTTCAAGGCCGGTCTCAGACCAAACACTTGACACTTACTAGCTGTGTGACCCTGGGCAAGTCACTTAACCCCAATTGCCTTGCCGCCAAAAAAAAAAAATAATAATAATAATAATAATTCAGAACAGAGTGACTGAATCTCATTTCTTAAAAAAAAAAAAAAAAAAAGCAGTGACTTGTTCGAGCTCTCCCCCAATGCCCTCCAAATACCTGTAAAAAATGGCTCTAAACAAATTCTAGAGCGGCAGAACCCACAAAAAGACAGAGAGAGGAAAAATGAGCTAAATTTAGGAAGCAGGTAACCTACAAGGTGATAGCAGAAGCAAAACCCCAAGTTAAGGCTACTAATCACATCAGACCTCAATACCTCCCATCATACCCAAGAGTTCCTAAAGCTTACAAGATTCTGTTTACCAGGCTAATGAGGAACAAAGTTCTAAGGGAATGTCCACTTACCCTCTGAATGTGTCTAGAGAGCGAAGGCGATGCACTGGAGTGGTCAGCCTCCACGCTTCAACCTGCAGGTCACTACTATAAGACTCTGCCCTGGTTGGAGATCCCAGTTCCTTCAGAAAGAAAAGAAAAAGAAAAGAAAATAGAAATTTTGTTTGTTGCTTGATGTCTGGGCTCAGTTTCTAACTTCACTTGATTTTTTGGTGTTTTTCCTAAGCTTGTCTAAAGACACGTAGAACCGGTCTGAAATAAACTCATTTCAACCAATGTCAGCCAACACATTCCAAAGGGAACTGAAAGGAGCACTATGTCAGTACAAGAAGTGTAGGCAGATGTAGAGGGCCAGCTCTGATCAGTCCAGAAAAGGGTTAAAGAATTCAGGCTGGAATTTAACTTCTGCCTGTTCTTACCTTCAAGGGCTCACTTAATCAGGATGTTGGCTCACCACTCTCCTATTCATTAAGGGGCTCCTGGAACTGCCTGACCGTGACACAATAAAAGTCTGGCATGAGGGATAACATGTGGCAAACTAGGGAGGACTAGTCACATACTTTGAGATAAGAACCTGAGACAGCCCTGAGAATGATTGCTGAGGCCTGTTAATTGACTGTTAATCTCTATCTTGTAACCATTTGTTTAAAATGATGTAATCCTTTTTTCTTGACACTTTTATTGTATGCTCCTTTGATGTATGTCCTGAAAGCATTTTTTAACCAAGCTCTGAACCTTGAAAGTTATCAGTAACAGTTACAGAATATGCATAGTTTTCCCACACAAGGGATCTTTTGTAGCTCTAAACTTTTTCCTATATATGCTGTGACCCTCAGATGAATAAACGGTTCAGTCTTGGCTGACCTGCCTGGCCCATGTTTCTGCAGTTCACGCTCTCCCGTCAGGTGTGATTCTTAGTTGCTGGCAACAGGTAGATATATTTAAAGCATCCTTTACAGACCTGTTTTCTGATCGATACGAACATCCCCACAACCTCTCATCATCTTCAAGTTGCTACAGCCAAAAAAAGCTCCCAAGTGTATGAAGTCTGGGTCTCCGCTGACAAATACACTGTCTGTCACAGGTCCTGGACTTAAAACTGTCCCCACTGGGTAGGCTCTGAATACACAGCCTTTGAGAACACAGGCTCACTTCCACTCAATGATGAGGCATGAAAGTGGAACTTAGGTGGAGGTTAGGCAACCACGCCACAAATATGGATAAGAACCACTAAAGCAGAAGCAATAATGATTACATTTGAGGGTGAAAAATTCTAAATCTTGTAGAAGAGAGGTAAAGACTCTTAAGTTGATACATTCCAGTTACTCACAGAATTAATGAGACGATCAGTTTCTCTGGGATTCATTTTTTTGTACAGCCAATTCCGAACAGGATCAAGTCTGTAAACAAATGAACGTTCCCTGTTGGCAAACTCTATTTTTCTTAAAATGATACCCCCTTATCAAATTAATTCATATTAAGACATAACAAGGCAGAGTTTGAAATTATTGATAATTCTTCTTCAAAATGAGGTGAGAAGAAATCTTTCACAAAAGTACATGACTTTATCATGTTAAAGAAAAAATGAAATTCATGCTTCCCATAAGCATTCATGTTTTATACAAATTTTGCTGACATCTTTGATGTTCAGTCAACATAAGATTTCCAAATATGTTTTCTTTCATCGATCATCTACCCACCTCTACTTAACTCATCATCTTATGAAAAAGAGTTAAATAGACCTTAATGAATAATTAAAAGAAGTCAGTAAAATGACTCCATCTTACAACCATCAGATGGACAACACAACAAAAAATGAAAATGGTAACTGTTGGAGGTGCAATAGGAGTAAAGGCACAATAATGCACTGTTGGTGGAACTGTAAATTGGTTCAATGATTCTAAAAAGAAATTTGGAACTATGCCCCCCCCCAAAGTTACTAAAATATGCATGCCCTTTTATGCACATATGCCCTGAGGGGTCAAAGACAAAAAGAAATGATTCACATAGATAATATTAATGCACAAAGAACTAGAAACTAAGTGGATTCCCAACACTTGAAGAATGGCTGAGAAAATTATGGTAAATGAGTATAATGGAATATTATTCTACTGTAAGAAATAGATGAAAATGATACGATTTAGAGAAACCTGAGATTCATATTAAGAGATGAATTAGAGGTACAGAATGAGGTACGGCCAATGTGTCAATTTGTTTTGCTTAACCACATTAATTACAAAGGAAAGCTTTTATTGGGGGATTGAGGAGTTGGAAGGTGTAAGGAGGGAGTATTGGTGGTTTGTGATAATAATACAAAAAAAAAAAGGAACTGAAATAGAAGTCATTGAAACATTCAAAAACCACAAGAGGGAGCAGAATGGAGTTCAGAAAGGTACACAGAAAAGCAAGGCAGCTTTGTTACTTTCATCAAATTTACTACACACTTAAAAACTGTAATTGAAGTTCAGTCTCAAATACCACCTTCTTTTTCTCTTTGTATACGGAAACGTTCATGTTTCAATATTTGTCAAGCTCCTAATAAAAAGGAAAAACTTAATTTAAAAAAGGGAAGTTAGGATGATTTTCTGATTCTCCTTTACACATAGGGAAACACCCATTCCCCAAAAGCAAATGGTCACAGGAAGAAGAAAGAAAGAGGAATTGGTGATTCTTTGCTGAGGGGAATCAAGGTTACTACAGGTCTACTTGATAACAACAGTAGAGAGATCTGATGTCTTCCCACGCCATACATCTAAGACCTAACGGAGAATCTCTCAAGACTGGTATCTACTACCTACTTCTGCTGATTGCCTTCACGTCCCTTTCATGATTCTGTTTGAGAGTCAAATCACAAGAGGACTATATGATAAATAGGCCATCATTTTCCACTAAAAAAAGTTGGAACAGGAAGTGCTTATCCTATCATCTACTCATAAATCAAATTATTTTTCAAAGATTCATACTCATATCGTTCACCATTCCCACAAGGAGGTAAGCTCATAGGGTCAAGGACTCAGAATGTAGGTACCTCCAAGGTCATCTGGTCCAAGCCTCTCATTTTCACATGAGGAAAATCAAGTCCAGGGATGTAAGTGATTTGCCAAAGGTCACGTGGCTATTAAGTGACTGACCACATCAAGATTTGAACCAAGGCCCTCGGACTCCAATTCCAGTACTCTCTACATCACACAACATTGTCTTATTCTTGTAGTGACCTTCTCTTGGTCAGCTATCTCTTTAAAAAGCATCATTCACACTAAAGGTTATAACAGGTAAGAGAGTTAACCTTCTCTGATGTATATTCATTTAAAGGAAGATTGGAAAGGCAAATCTTATCTTGAAGGGAAGAATATAATGCGATTATCCTAAGATTTTTATTATAATTCTTTCTGGATTTCTCCTTTGACTCGTTTACATATTATCTTGGTTCATACTTAATTGCATACACACCAAATGCAATATGAAAAAAAATATGAACTTAGTAATAATGATATTGCATCTGTCTTATACCTTATGATCACAAAGCAATTTACATATACCAAAAGGAAACATATATTAGGATACAATTTTTGCATTATAAAAATGCCTGCAACTTTTTAAGATCCCAAATCCCAAGTGTGTTTGATACGTAAGAATGTAATTCACCACCAAGTTTCCAGAAGCTCTGTCTGTTGTGTAGAGTGAGCTATACCTGCATTCCTTTTGGTTACTTCCTCTTCAGCTTTTCCCTTTTTTCTCCTTTTCCTCCATGAAATCATTTAAAGAGTGTTATTCTTCTATATTATGTAGAACAGGAATTAGAATTTGTTCTTCTTTATGACATTCCTAGACTATTTTACATCTTTATGGATTTAAAGGCTTCAGTGCACCTGAGAGTCACGAGATTTTTGTTACACCAAATCTGGTCCCTTGTTCTGACAAGAGAAGGTCAGTACTGACCTTGTGAGACAAAAATTCTATTTGGAATTTAGGCAAAATAAGCTTCTTTTCAACTTGGAAGACACAGTATTTATTAAAATTCCAAGCTAAATATCTCAAGTTTTGAAATTGCCCTTTTTCTCTTTCCCTATTCTTCCCTTCTCATTTTTTCTCAAGACCACTCCTCTTATTCTCACCCCTTCTCAAGATCTTTTTGATCCCTCCTAGAACCCCAAATCATCCTAACACAAAGTCAAAATCACTATCCACAAAGTACTGAACAGTAAACTTTCTACCCTAACACTAACTAGGAAAAAGAACCAAGAATAAAGCAATGAGATATGAAAAGTCCAGTCTCTTTTCCCATACTACTCAGGTGTGAAACATTGGCAGCAGGGAAGATGTGGGTGAGGAAGCTTAGCACCAGAGAAGAAAGATGATGAAGTGGTTAGGTTTTTTGTTTTTTTCAAACCTGGGAGCCACCTCCTAAAATTCCCAGAGATCACTTACAGCTCTGTACAAAGTATAATGCCTTCTGTTAGGAAATAACTGGGTGAAAATAAGCCTTTATAAATAAACAAAATATTTCTCTTCTGTTGAGTTTTGTTTCCTCTTTCTGGTGGTTCCTCCTATTGGTTCTAATTCTTACTTAAAACATCACTAATGTGAAAATACGTTTAGTAGGAATGTATATGTATAGCCTATATCAGATCGTGCGCTGTCTTGGGGAGGGTGGTGGGGAGGAAAGGGGAGAAAAATTTTAAACTCAAAAGCATATGGAAGTGATTATTGATAAATCAAAATAAATTAATAAAAAAAGAAAAAAAAGAAATGTACAAAATATGCCATGATCCACTTTCTCCAGTTCTCTGCTTTATCCCACCCCCAACAATTTCTACTTACTTCACAAAGAAATTTCCTACAGACGAGGAAATGAGGATTGCTATATAAATAAGGAATGCAATGTAGATAGCTGTATGAAGAAAAAGAAGAATACCATCACAAATAAGGTCAACATTATAAAGAGTGATATCATTGTAATCCATAAAATTACTTTTAGTTTACAAGAGGCATAAAGCATTGCTAGAAAAACTGCAAGATAAAATGTTACTGGGGGGAGAACCCCACATTTCTATGCTAAATTTCCTACAAGCAATGCAGAAAAAGGAAGGGTGTGAAATCTACTTATTAATGCCTCATAGCTCCACAGTTTACTCACTTGACATGCAGCTAAACTAATAAATGCGTCTGGATGACAAATTCTACCTCCAGAATTGTCAGAGGAGGAAAGATTCTGAGCAGCCTCTTTATCCTAATCCTAAAGCAAGGTAAGGTTTTCCTTTGGTCCAGTGCTCCTATTTTGAAATTTCTGTGCTTGACTTTTTGGGCCTATTTGTGCCTAAGCTTGGCAACTAATACGAAAATTCCACTCACTTTTCACTAAAAATCTGATATAACCAAAAAACCTTATTAACAACAATAGCTGACAAATTATGAAGCACTTTAAGATTTTCAAAGCACTTTTCCTATATCATCTCCTTTGATGCTCACAACAACCCTGGGATAAGTGATATTATCATCCCTTGTTTGCCAATGAGGAAACTGAGGCTCAAAGGTATTAATTAAATTAATTAATTTAAAATAATTAAAAATCATTTGCCCAGGGTAACAGAGCTAATAAATATTTGAGGGAAGAGTCGATCCCAGGCCTTTCTTGCTCCGAGTTCAATACTCTATCCACCATGTTACGTTGTCCCTAATGCTCTGAGATGAGCTCTATAGTTTGGGTTTTTAATTACCCAAGAAATACTGTGTGCTACTACTCTTTCCAAACAGCACCCCAAAACTGAAAACATTTTCAGACTAAGTTAAATAATCAACAAATGGGTACATACGAAGATTGCTGTTGACCGGATTTTCATTGACGACCATGTCACAGGACATCTGGTTGATACTACCATAGTGAGGTTTTACCCAGAGAGAATAGTTTCCAAATTCTCCAAAAACATAATGTATCCTACAAAGAATTGGGAAAAATAACAACAATTAAAAAGAAAGAAAGGAAGGTTAGAAACCGAGTTGGAATTTGACAAATATGTTCACTGCAGAGGGGTATGACTGCTGGAGACCAAGAACAGTATGGAGATGCGTTTGAAAGGGAAGGAAAAAGGTATGAGGAGGGTGAAGAGAAAATGTAGATTTTATTTAGATAGGTCAACATCAAAGGAGGTACAGACCGGCAAATCTCTTTCTTTTCCAAGGTATCATTTAGAAGCAGGGTGACAGGGTGCTGAGAGCTCACTGCAACAGCTGCAATGCTAGGGTGTCCAGGTTTTGGACTCACTGGAACGGACACCAGAAACTGATACAAGCACTATAAAAATAGAAGCACAAGAAGGAAGGGAGTTGGGGATTTTTGAAGTCTGCTGCCTTCTGAAAAAGTTTTTACTGATGTCTTCTTGCATCAGAGTTGTCTCATGTATACCTCCTTCTCCCCCTCCCAGAGAGTCATCCCATGTGACAAATAGTATTTTTTAGAGAGGAAAAAAAAACCAGCTCAACTGATCAATACACTGGAAAAGTCTGACAACATGTGCAATAATGTGTGTAACACCTGCAGAGACTCCACCCTCACAAAGGGGCAGGTTGGGGGGTGTCATCTCCTATCTCTTCATTCAAGTCTGGCTGGATCTTTAAAATTTTGCTGCAGTCACTTTTAAATTTTTGCCACATTGTTCCTTCAATTACACTGTTGTAATTAATGTGTATGTTGTTTTCTTGCCTCTGCTCACTCTGCATCAGTTCATAGAGATCTTTCCATTCTTCTCTGTACTCATCACACACATCATTTCTTACAACACAGGAATATTCCATTATATTTATGTACCACAATTATTTTAGTCATTCCCCAATTGATGGGCACCTACTTTGTTTTCAATTCTTAATTGTCACAAAAGATGCTACTTACAAATATTTTGGAATGTATAGAAAGTTTCTTCTTATTGATGGCTTCCCTGGGTATAAGCCCAATAATGGGGTCTCTGATTCAAAGGATATAAATATTTTATTCACTTTATTTGCATAATTCCAAATTACTTTTCTTTTTCTTCTTTTTTTCCAAATTGCTTTTCAAAATGATTATACCATTTCACAGATCCACCAACAATGTATTTGTGTGTTTCTCACAATCCGTCCAACATTGACTATTCCCAATTTTTGCCAATTTGCAGGGTATACAGTGAAGCTTCAGGATTATTTTGATTTGTATTTCTCTTATTATTACTGATTTGGAGCATTCATTCATGTGATTTCCTCTGAGAAATGCAATTCCTCTGAGAAATGTTTCTTCATACCTTTTGACTACATATACATATGACTATTAGTCTCTCTCTCTCTCACACACACACTCTTAAAGGACTTTAACATCAAACTAAAAAAGACCTGACTTTAATTTCGTCCACTGTGTCTTGTTTTCATCTAAGTGTTTCCAATGAAGAGAACAGTATCTGTTGAATTCTCTTAAACTACCCCCAACCATACACAGTTACTTACACATTTTGAAATATAGTATTTCATTTTTCCATAGAAACATTTTTTACTTTAAAAAAAAAGGCAGTTGAGAATAGAAATACAGAAATAAGACCTTACTATAAAGATACCCAGAAGCATATTATATGATTTGGAATTTGGATGAAACTCCCAAAGGGGAGAAGGATGGACATTCTGAAGAGGAAGTCTGTTCCCCAGGGACTGATAATGTGAATACGTGTGGATAAATAAAGACTGTGAAATCAAAGATCAGCCAGTAAGGGTCACAGGAAGAAGACGGGAAGGGGAAAAGGAGGAAGAGATAGCGACTCATTGCTGACAGGTGTTAAGGCAACTATTGGTTGACCTGATAACAACAGCAGAAATCTGCTTTTGCTGCCTCCTCAGATCACATATCCAAGACATAATAAAGGATGTCTTGTCAAATGTGATAATTGCTACCTACTTCTGGTGATTAATTTGGGCACAAATTATATTGCCAAGAGGAATCTGGACACATTACTAAAGGTTATAAAATTCAGAGTGGAAAACCTTAGGTGCTGTTTTCATCACTCTTGTCCCCAAAGGCAAGGGCTTCAGAAAAGGAAGGCAGAATTGGGAAGTGAATATACAGTTGATTAAGAAGATGGGATTTAAGAATGAGATTTGAATCTCTAGACCATGGCTTAAAATATAAGAACGGCAATCTCCTGGCCAGAGATGGAGAATACCTAACGTGCTAGAATTAATCTATTTGCTTGAAGTTTTGCAAATTTAATGAAAAGGGCTTTAAAATTAAAAGGAAGAGAGAGGGAAGGAGAAAACTGCTGATTCATCGTCACCAAGCAAGATACCATAGAGAGTAGACAAAATACAGAAAAAAATATACCGAGAGATACATTCAGAAATTCACCGAGGACAGAATCGAGGGAAAAAAAGAAAAGTAATAAAGCTCGCAGTCTCATATCTTTTTAAAAAAATGTACAAAGTATGGGTAATAAACAAAATAAGCCAATGATGCTAATGCAAAGAGGAAAATTTAACTTAATAAGTAACACTGAGACTTGGTGGAATAAAATTCATGACTAGAATATGGCTCTGGGAAAGTCTATCTTATTCAAAAGAAACAACCTAAGTAAAAAGTCAGGGAGGAGAGGTGGGTAGTGCAACACAGTATATCAGGAAGATCAGAATCTTGAGAGGAAATTCAGAAACCTTCAAGAAGCCCAACAGGGAGAATTGGGGCAAAGACCATCATTAGATTAAACAGAAGCCATCTGAATGTATTACTACCAGGGCAAGTAGGCAGCGCAATGATAGATCAGCAGGTCTGGATTGGGGAAAACCTAGGTTCAAATCCAGCCTCAGATACTTACTAACTGTGACATGGGTAAGTCCCTTAATCCTGTTTGCTTTGTTTCCTCATTTGTAAAATGGCAAAATAGGTAATGGCAAACCATTCCAATGTCTTTGCCAAGAAAACCCCAAATGGGGTCATGAAGAGTCAGACATGACTGAACAACAGTATTACTGCCAACCTAGATACAACGAAGAAATGCAAGACATGATATTTTTGGAGAATGGAAGCTATTCTTCTTAATTAAAACCTCTGCTCTACCTAAAATCTAGCACACTGACCATGGCAGTGTCATTGTTGTTACTATGACATGAAACTCACAAGACACATGACAGAACAGCGATGGAAGACTTCAATAATCGGTACACAGGCTGAACAAAAACAGAGTAGTTAATTTCTTGACTTGCCTTAGAGATAATGTTATCTTTCAAAAGGAATAAGAACCCAAAAAAAAAGAGGGAAATTCTATTCCGGATCTGATTTTTGTCAACAAGAATTGGTTGCTGGGTGATGAGAACCTTGTGAGGAAGTCCCATTGTAGCTTAAATTCTGTGACAGAGAAGGAATGGAAAGTGAGAAGACCTTAGATCTTAGGGTAGATTTCAAAGGATGCGGGAAAAAAAACAGGTGGGATCCCATAGTCTAAAACTTTACAGAGGAAGAAGTAAGCCCTGGAGAGGCAAAGTTCTCAAAAATGAAATTTTGAAGACACAAAAGAAAAACAATTCAAATGTTAATGAGGGGGTTTTCTGAAGAGACCAATGGGTTACACAAAGCAACTCCCCAACCAATCTATGGTGAGAAGTAGAGTAGCAAAGTCTAATCAGGAGTGGGGAACCTGAGGCCTCGAGGCAGTAATCAATCATTAAAAAAGCCATCAAGATTTTATCAAGAGGGGCAGCTATGTGGCACAATAGATAGAGCTCAGGTCTTGGAGTCAGGAGGACCTGAGTTCAAATCTGGTCTCAGATGTCTACTAGCTGTGTGACCATGGGCAAGTCACTTAACCCCAACTGCCTCACCAAAACAAAACAAAAAAAACTTTATCAAGAGCAGGTTCAGTCATACCAGATTAACCTTATCTCCTTTTCTGATTAGGTTTCTAGACTGGTAATGAAGAGCAATGCTAGTTTACCTAGATTCTAGCAAAGCATTTAATGAATTATCTTATAAAATTCTCGTGGAAAAGACAGAGACACAATCTAATTAGGAAGATTTAGAAGTGGTTGAATGGCTGTAGGCAAGGAATGGTCATTAATTAAGGTTTCAATGTCAATCTGAAAGGAAGTCTCCCAGAGACCTATGCTTGGCCTGGTGTTGCTAAATATTATAATCACTGAGTTGGATACAGCAATCTACCAATCAGCCAACAAGCATTTATTAAAAGTGTCTGGAGCTGAGGATGCAGAGAACAAAAATAGAATGATCCTGGCTCTCAAGGAATTTATATGCAGCTTAAACATAGAAGTATATACAAGATACTCACAAAACACACATGTACACATGTAAAAAAGTACTTATCAACTAATCAATTGAATATTTATTAAGAATCAGCTACGTGCAAGGCACTGAGCTAAGCATTGAGGATACAAGTACAAGGAATTAAACAATTCCTATTCACAGGGAGCTTACATCCTAATGAAGGAAGCAATTAGTACGTGGAAAAATACATAAAACCCATAAGTATAAATTTAAATATATACAAGTTAGTTAAATACAAAGTAGTTTGGGAGGGAGAGCACTAGCATTTGGGGGGATAAGAAAAGGGTTCCTGAAGATGATGGAACATGAGGCTGTGTAAGGAGGGAGTTCATCCCTACACATAGAGGACAGTCAGTTCCCCATGCAAAGGCATGGAGTTTAAAGATGACATATTGTGTGTGAGGAACAGAGATGGGGCCAGTCAACTATTAGAGGACTCATGATGTCAAATACTGTCCACCTCCAGATAAGAGAGCTGATGGTCTCAGAGTGAAGACTGAAGCATAATTTTTTTCCTTTCTTTGCTTTTCTTGCTTTTTTTTGTTTGCTTCAGAACATGGCCGATGCAGAAATACGTTTGTATGACTTCATATATATAATAAGTATTATATTTTGTGCCTTCTAAATGGGTAGGGGAGGGAGGGAAAGAATTTGGAACTAAAAATAAAATATAACTTAAATTTTTAAAAAGTTACTGTCTTTCAAAACTATCTTTACAAAATTGTTGTTATTGTATAAATTGTTGTCTTGTTTCTGTTCACTTCACTTTGCATCAGTTCATAAGTCTTCCCAGGTTTTTCTGTAACCTTTCTCTTCAACATTTCTTATAGAACAATAATATTCCATCACATTCATATATCATAACTTGTTCAGCCATTCCCAACTTACAGGCACCTCCTCTATCTCTAATTCTTTGCCACAAAAAGAATTGCCATAAATATTTTTGTATATATGTGTCCCTTAAATCTTACTTTGATGTCTTTGGGGGTATAGACCTAGTAACAGTATTGCTGGATCAGAGGGTATACACTGTGTAATAACTTTTGAACCACAGTTCCAAATTGTTTTCCACAAAGCTGGCTGGACCAGTTCATGGCTCTACCAACAGTGTATTGGTGTACCTTATTTTTCCAGAGCCCCTCCAGCATTTGTCATTTTTCCTTTTTGTCAATTTTGCCAATCTGATGAGCATGAGGTAGAACCTCAGAGTTATTTTAATTTGCATTTCTCTAATTACTTGTGATTCAGAGCATTTTTTCATATGGCTATTGATGGCTTACACTGAAAACTGTCTACTCATGTCCTTTGACCATTTATCTAATCAGGGAATGGCTCTTATTCTTATAAATGTGAATCAGTTCACTATATACCTTAGAAATGAGACCTTATCACAGAAACTTGCTACAAAGATTTTTTTTCCCCCAATTTCCTACTTCTCTTCTAATTTTCAGCTAGGTTTTGTTTGTGGAAAACCTTTTAAATTTTACATAATCAAAACTGTTTTACTTCCTGTGAACTTCTCTTTCTCTTGGTTGGTCATAAATTTCTTCCACTATCCATAAATCTGACAGGTAATTCCCATGTCCCTCTAATTTCCTTATGACGTTACCCTTTATATCTAAATCATGTACCCATTTGGAATATGTTGGTCTATAGCTAGCTTCCACCAGACAACTTTCCAGTTTTCCAAATTGTTTCTGTCAAGTGGTGAGTTCTTCCCCAACAGTTAGGATCTTCAGGTTTATCAAAAATAAGGCTACTGTTGTTTCAACGTACTGTGTACTTAATCAGTTCCACTGATCAATCTCTATTTCTAACCCATTCCCAAACTGTTTTGCTAATTACACCTTTGTAGTGTAGTTAGCATTGTGATACTGATTCCTCCCTTCGAATTACAAAGCAACATTTGAACCCAAGTTTTCTTGCCCTCAAAATCTTTCTATTGTACCATAGCACCTTTCTTTTTAAAAAACTAGGAAAAGAGTTGTATGGGTGTAAGAGGCATCAGGAATTAGAATGCATTTGCCTAAAATAAAATATAAATTAAGAACATGCTTACTTGATAACAATGGTCGGAAAGCCAGTAGACATTCAAATCTCCATGAAGAAATTCATTGTGGATAATTAATAATGCCTGATCCATCTTCAACTCTGGGAGCTTTCTTTTGTTGATATCTGGTACCAATTAAGACAGAAAGAAAATAATGCAAATTAAAGCTATTCTTCCAGAAAAGGTATACAAATTAGAATGTTGGCTCCAAACTAGTGGTTTTTCAAAATTCATTCTGAGACTCTTCCTCCATCACCTAGGCCTTTGGATCTCCTGTCACGTTTTATACTTCAATTTAACATTTATTAAGACCCTACTATAAGTTAAGCACTGTCCTATGTTCCATGAATTTTTTTAAAAAATCATTTCTGCCTTCAAGGAGCTTGCATTCTTACATGGACGGGTACAATATACATATATAATTAAATATAATGTGCAGAGAGAGAGCGCAAGTGTTGACTAATAGAGAAGGGAAATGGAAGGGAGTTTCAAAGAAAGTTTCATGAAGGAGTTAGGGCCCAAGCTGTGCCATGAAGAAAGACAGGGTATTCTGAGAGGCTGAAATGGGGAGGACATTCTAGGGATGAAAGATGTGTGTGGAAGACGGAATGTGGAAGTCCATTAACAGACTGTAGTCCAATATGGCTGGAATGAAGCTGAGTAATATATAACATAGTCCTGGAAAGGAAAGTTGAAATCAGATTCATAATGAGGGAACTGAAGGGCATTAGGACAGCAAGCAGTTAATGGTGGGAACTGAGTGAACCACGCTGACTCCATGTTGTGACTCAACTCTGAAGCGAGCTCAGTTCCCTTTCTATTCAATTATGAGTCTAGTCCAGGGGTAGGGAACCTGTAGCCCTTTAGGTCCTCAAGCGTGGCCCTTTGAATCCAAACTTCACAGAAGAAATTCCCTTAACAAAAGGATTTGTTCTGTAAAATCTGGACGCAGGCAAAAGGTTGCAGCCAAGGACCTAGCTGTGGCCTCCAGGCTGCAGGTTCCCCACCCCAGTCTAGTCCAGATTCCGTCTTGTAAGAAAAGTTTATTCAATTGCGTGTGCGGCTGGGAAGCCGGTCCACCCCTACGGTTACTTAGAGACCCTTAACTAAGGATCTAGGTTACGCTGACCAGAAACTCAGTCAGATCCAAAGATCAATGCAAGGAGTTTTCTCACAGTTGTACATCTCAAGCAACCCATATATCTTATCTGAAAACTGGCCCCATACTGATCAATCAGTTATTGTTTCCATGTTCCTTTGATTGTTCACAGACACTCGGGGGAAGTGGGACACCTCCTTTTCTGAATTCAGGGAACTACACCTGTTCACTCTTCCCCTCCCAACTTGCAAAGTCCCTAATCTTTATCAAATCACCTAATGTTGTAGGTTCCTTTTAATTAATTGGCCTTATTTGATCAACTATTTTTAATTAGTCTATCTCCCCCTGTATTAAGGGTCTAGGCCTAAGCTGAAGAGGTCTGCCCTGATTTGTTAGGCAATCGGCATGCACTGCTTGATAAATCAATATGGCTCCCTGCCTTCATATGCTTATGACTTACTGTTGCTATCAGCAAACAATCTCTCTCATTTACATGGAGGGAAACTGAGGTTCAGGGAAGTGACTTATTGGAGTCACAAACTTGTAGTTAACAGCAGAGGGGGGATTCAAACTCCAGTTTCTCTAGGTAGGGGCTTGCTCTGTATACAAACAATTTTCTTTTGGTGAACTCGGCATAAAGGCCAAGTAAAGTAGAGCTAATGAGTCCAAAGAAAGTGGTTCATCTGACATTTAAACCAATAATTTTATAAGAGGGATAATAATAATAATAGCTTATATTTTATACTGCTTTATAGCAAGACATTCTTACACTTATTTCTCACAACAATCCTATGAGGAAGAGAGTATGTGATTATCCTCATCTTACAGAAAGGGGAACTGAGGCAACGAAAAGTTAAAGGTCGAATGGCTAAGAAAGTGAAAAATACGGGACTCAAACCTATTTTCTTTGCCCCCAAGTCCAGTGCTTGTTTCAACATACAACAAAGTCTCATCTTACACCTATTTCATTAACAAAGATATTCTAAGATGTAAGTATGTTTTATATGATTGCACATATATAACACATCAAATTGCTTACCCTCTCAGGAAGAGGCAGGGAGGAGGGAAGGAGGTAAAAAATGAAAAACAAATGTTAAAACTGTTCTTACATGTAATTGGAGGGGGGAAATATATATATATATATATTTGCAAAAACATGTTAAACATATTGCTTCCAAGACAGAAAACAATGCCAAATCTATCCAAGAGAGGTAAAAATCTATTCCATCACAGTTCTGAGAGTAAGTCTTCAAGAGAAGCCTCCAAGGACTCCTTCAGTTACTAAAAACTGCCATTAGGAAATTCTTCTTTGTATCTCTTCTAAATCCCAGATTCTGTAGTTTAAGTTAATTTCCTCTTAGGTCTTTGGTATAGACTGAGAACAGATGGTCATTGGCTGCATTTTTGTCCAATAGAATCAATTCCTTTTGTCTTTGGTCACCAACCTCATTTCTATCTTTCTGTGGTACTCCTCTCCTTACTGTGGCACTTCTGTGGAAAATCTCTCCAAATTCTCCTTTAAGGAATAATAATAGTTACCATTTAACTGATTTTTGCAAAGTGCTTTACAAATCTTATTCTTACAACAACGACCCTGAGAAGTAGGGGTTATTATTACAGTCATTTTACAGATGAGGAAACTGAGGCATAGGTTAAGGCAGTAAGTATCCAAGATAGGACTTTTTCTTAGATCTTCCTGAATCCAGGTCCACAATTCAATCCACTTTGCCACCTAGCTGTATTAATTACAGAGCAGGGGTAAAGGATGTTCCAAGCAAGGTCTGACTACTGGTAAGGATTTCCTCTGTGACATAGTAGGGGGTGGGTGTGTGTGTGTGTGTGTGTGTGTGTGTGTGTGTGTGTGTGTGGTGTAATATGGTAAGATTTCAGAGCTTTAAAAATGTTTTATTGATGTACCTCTTAATGCAGCTTAAGCCCTCATTAGCTTACCATGACCAGCTAATTAGACTAAATTTGCAGTCCATTAATCTCCTATTATATTTTCATAAAAACTGTCACCTAACCACAAACTCCACTGTTCTATATTTGTTACTCTGATTTTTGGAACCCAAAGCTAAGGCTTTATATTTTATATTTTTCCCAATCAAATATTATTTTATTAAATTCAGCCTATCATTCAACCCACAAAAATCTTTTTGGGTATTGACTCTGTGGTCCAGTGTATCAGTCATTCTCCCAGCTCTGTGTCATCTGCAAATTTGGTAAGGATGCCTTCCATGCCTTCATACAAGTCACTGATAAAAATATTCAACAACATAGGACCAAAAGACAGATCCACTAGAGATCTTCCCCCAAGTTGGCATAATCAATCCATTAGTAACTACTCTTTAGGTCTAGTCATTTCACCAATGAATTAATGTGTGAGGCTTAGTAAAATACTTGTTGACTTGACAGTTTGTCAAGCACTGGAGAGATGGTACCCAAGACTTTGTTATATGCCAGGCACTTATCTCATTTGATCCTTAAAACTACCTTGAGACAGATCGGTGCTATTATCATCCCCATTATACAAATGAAGAAACTGAGGCAGCTGGTGTCTTATCTAGAGCCACATAGCTAGTTAAGTTGTTATTCAGTCATTTCAGTCATGTCCAACTCTTCATGACCCCATTTGGAGTTTTCTTGACAAAGATACTAGACTGGTTTGCTATTTCCTTCTCCAGGTTATTTTACAGATAAGGAAACTGAGACAACCAGGGTTAAGTGATTTGCTCAGGGTCACACAGCTAGTTAAGTGTCTCAGGTCAGATTTGAACTCAGGAAAATGAGTCTCCCTGACTCCAGCACCAGTGCTCTATTCACTGGGCCACCTAGTTACCTGAGCTATGAAGTGTCTGAATCCAAATCTGAACTCAGGTCTTCCTGACTCCAGGACCAGTGCTCTGTCTACTGTGGCACCTGGCTGTCCATCACACGCTCAAAGAGAAAATTTCCTACCTCCACCTTTCTCTCTGAGTCTATTTTCTTGGTAATAAGGCAACAATCACTGACATTTATATAATTTCATAAGGTAGACTGCTGAAAAGTAATCTATATTTCTTCATTTTATTTGATTCCCACAACACCCTAAGAACTGGTTACTACAGGAATGTGATAATACCCATTTTGCAGGCTGAAAGACTAGCTCCTTGTAAGACAGGCAGTTGAGTTCTGGAGGCAAGATTTAAATACAGAGTCAAATGAGATAACACATGAAAAACATTTTTGCAGACCTTAAGGAGCAATATAAATGTTAGCTATTATCATCATTATTGCTTCCACTGATTATGCCCAGGAAACTTAGGTTCATTCATCTCTGGAATTCCTGCCCTGGCCTGCTATATATCAGGCTGGCCCAGATCACTAATCATATTCCATCCAGCCATACACCCCCGCAGTCAACTTCTGGCTATCCAATTGACTTCTCAGACCAAAACACCTTTCCTGGGGGATGGATAGAACACAGGCCCTGGAGTCAGGAGAACTTGAGTTCAAATCCAGCCTCAGACACATAACTCACTAGCTGTGTGACTCTGGGCAAGTCACTTAACCCCAGTAGCCTCGCCAAAAAAACAAACAAACCAAAAGAAAAAAGCCACCCTTCCCTGGCAAACCCTGGGTGGCTTCCCCCAATGATAATGCAAGATCTTTGAGAGCCTGGAGTATCTAGCTTAGGTACCATCTCTCCAGTGCTTGACAAACTGTCAAGTCAGCAAGTATTTTACTAAGCCTCACTATATGCCAGGCACAGGGAATTACAAACAGAAGTACAAAGATAGTCCCTGCCCTCAAGGAGCTGACATTCTAATGGAGAAACACAACACATAAAAAGGAGATAACATGTTATAAGCTCTTACTAAATGATTTTCACTCATTGATTCATTCATTTATTCTTGACTTTAGGTTGCCTCTCTTTCTACAATCAATTACATAATTTGTGTATTATCCAGGCCCTGTCTACCCAGTGGGTTATTTCCCCATTCATCAGTGCCTGAACTGAGGGATGGGCAGGTAAAGTAAAGATATCATCTTATCAGTATGTCCTTTTTTTCCTGTCTAGTGCCAATGACTTCTGCCATTCAAATAAAATTATAAAATGATGATAAATAAATGATAATAAACAAATAAAAAGGGTGGTCTTGAATGGTCTTTACCAGAATCTGTAATTAAAGAATTATACTGGAAGACCATAAGTGAGCCCCGATGGAATTAGTGATACCAAATGATCCCTCTGGGTCTCAAAATTAATTCATTCAATTCAATTCAACAAACAATTATTAAACACCTATTTTGTGCAAGGTGAGAGGTAGCCTGGTTTGGTAGACAGAAGCATGACCTAGTAAACAGAGAGATCTGGGTTCCAAACTTCCTGCCCATCAAAAGCAAGCAAGTCACTTAAGAGTAAGGGTTAGGACTAGGGTTTAGGGTTAGGGTTAGAGTTACCCATCTAGTATGGAACTATTAATGTATATGTTTTATGTCTCTCATTAAAATGTAAGCCCCTTGAGGGCAGGCATCATTTTTTTTCCAATCTCCGGTGTTTAACACAGTACTTAGAATCTAGTAAGTACTTAATAAATAATTCCTGATTGATTGACTTATGATATCAAAGATCCAAACTGACAGTTCCCAGCACTTCGTACTCTGTTGTCTGATGAATTGGATGGGTCTTCTAAGCAAGGAATTAAAAACATGTGACTTTGGAGAAAATGGTAAAAGTTTATGTCAAATGACTTCACATACACAATAAGATGTCTTAATATAAAGAGATAATATAGATAATATAGCTTGCCTTTTCAAGGAGTGGGGGAGGGGCCAGAGGGAAATAATTTGGGACTCAAAATTTTTAAAACTGAATGTTAAACATTTTTAATGTAATTGGGAAATATTTAACAAAAGTATTTTTTAAAACTTTATGCAAAAAAAAGCAAAGCAGTTAATGTTAGCAAAGATTTTGATAAACTTTAGTGAATGTCCCAGGGGTAGGGAACCATAGTTTGGGGTGGCTATGGCTCAAGAAGGATGAAAGGTGACAACGCCCAAAATTTACTTTTGTTGTCTTGCATTTCAAGACTAGGACTTAGTTGGCTCTCCACCACTATTCAATATTATCACTGAGCATTCATATGGAATTCTGTGACTGAATGAATACCATATAGATTGCAAAGTCACCCCATACAGTACTTAGCTATTCTTCATAATAATGAAAGGCAGTGTGGACAATCTGGGTTTAAATTCCATCTCTCATACTATGTGTATAAGACTGTGTGAACCTCAGCAAGTCACTTAAATTCTTACTGCTCTTATAATTTTTATTTATTTTATTATTATTTGTTATTATTTTTTGATTTAATTAATAGTATTAATTAGGTGGAAGAGAAGGTACCAACCTGAATTGATAGGAGTTTCTTCACCCAGGGGTTGCCTATACATACCACTGAAATTCCTATTCCCCATCATACTGGATAAAACCAAGGCCCTGGAGGTGGTACAGTGACAGAGAATTGAGCCTGGAATCAGGAAGACCTGAGTTTAAATCCAGCCTCAGACTCTTACTAGCTGTGCGACTTTAAGCAAGTCACTTAAAAACAAACAAACAAACAAACAACCCCCCCCCCGTTTGCCTCAGTTTCCCCATCTGTAAAATGAGGATGATAATAATAGCACCGACAGGGGCAGCTAGGTGGCGCTGTGGATACAGCATTGCCACTGGAGTCCGGAAGACCTAATTTCAAATCCAGCCTTAGACATGTAACACTTACAAGCTGTGTGACTCTAGGCAAGTCACTTAATTCCAATTGCCTTAACAAAAAAAAAAAAAAGAAAAAGAAAAAGAAATATACCTACATCCTAGGGTTGCTGTGAGGATCAAATGGGATAGTAATTGTATAGTGTTTCAGCACAGTGCCTGGCACTATATGTTATATATAAGCTGTGTGACTTGGGCAAGTAACTTAACCTGTTTGCCTCAGTTTCCTCAACTGTAAAATGGGAATAATAATAACACCTACTTCCCAGGGTTGTTGTGAGGATCAAATAAGATACTAATTGTAGAATGTTTAGCAGAGTGCCTGGCACTATATAAATGTTAGCTATTATTATTAGTTGTGTCACCCCAGGCAAGTCATTTAATGTTTGTTTGCCTCAGTTTCCTCAACTGTACAATGGGGACAATAATTGCAACTACTTGCCAGGGTTGTTATGAGGATCAAATGAGATACTAATCATAATGTGCTTAGCACAGTGGTAAGCACTATATAAATGCTAGCTCTGATGATGATGATGATGATGATGATGATGATGATGATGATGATGATGGAACTCCTGTCAGGCACCAGAAGCCCAGGATGTAAGTGATCTCTCCTCCCCCCATTCATCCATTGAACTTCATCTCTTCTAAAATACAGGATTCAAGAAGCACCTGGAGCATCTCCAAATTCTCCCAAGAATCTATACAATCACCATCACATTACAATTTGCAACACCCAGAAATCCTGCTGCTTTTGTCAGCTCTGGGGTATCGGACTCTCAAAGCTCCTCATCTCCCAGCTCCTTTCTACTGCGTCACCATCACTCCATCCTGATGGTGGGTGGATGTACAAGGTGGACAAGGAACAATTGGTTCTCATGGGGGCAGACAGGATGCCTGGAGGAGGAGGCAATGTTCCCTTCTAATTCCTCCCAACCTTAAGGCAATTAGGGATCTGGAGGACAATGTATAGAAAACCTGGTTAGTTTCAAATTCTGCCTCCGAAGATACAAAGTATGGGCCAGGCATTTATCCTTTTTCAGCCTCTGTGGGTAAATCGCACCTATTTCACAAACAAAATTTTGATTTGTCAATCAGAAGACATAATAAATGTAATACAAATGACGGCTAGTATTATTATCAACTGTGCAACAATAGACAATACTGAAGAGAATGGGGGAGGGGAGTGGGGAAGAAGAATGGGGATGGGGATGGAGAGAGAATCTACAATACCTTACTGGTATTATTATCTGGTAAATTGCGCTCCTTTTTTTACATCCACAAAGCATATGGAGACAAGCATACAGCCAATATGGGAAGGAGAGAGAGAAAGAAAAGCAGCGATTTGTTTTTTTGTTTTTTTTTTCCTTTAGCATGGAAGGTTTTTTTCATTTGGAGGTGAGGTTTGTGGGGGTTTTTTGTTTGATTTTTTGCTTTTCTTTGGGTTGGGGTGAGGTTCTGCCATCTAACAGGATTTCAAATGTGATGCTTTTTCTCCAGGGAAGGAAGGGAATTCAGTACCCTGCTTTTCACCAAGGCTTAAAAGGGGGGGATAATTGAGAACAAAGGTAGGGTGGGGTGGGATGGGGTTGAGAGCAAAGCTAGAGAAATGGGGATGGGGAGGGAGAGAGTCAGGAAGTCCAGCCTGGAGAAAAAAGAAAGCCAGGAAAGGGGAAGAAACACCGATGTAGGAACAAGAAAAAGGAGGGAGGGGGGGAAGAGGGAGGGAAGAAAGGAGGGAATACATGTATGTGCAGGTGTGTTTTCTGTGTGTCTGAATGTTCTGTGTTGGCTGTATGTATGCGAAGGCGTGCATGCAGCTAGTGTATGACTGCAGATGTGTGTTGTGGGGAGGGGAGGCAGTGCATGTTTGCTGTGTCTAAATGCTGCTGGTTGTACATCTATGTGCACACACATGCTTGTGGATGGCATATGATTTCAGATGTATGTCTGCTGTGGCTAATAAGGAAACATTCGGTATGACTTCGAATGGATAATGGGCATCATACTGCTTGCCTTCTCGATGAGTGGGGAGGGGCTGGAGGGACAGAGAAAATCTGGAACTCAAAATTTAAAAATGAATTTTAAAAAAGATGCATCTATGTTGTGTGTCTTCGAATGTCATGTGCGATGGGGGCATTCTGGCGTATGACTGCAGATGTCTGCGTGTTGGTTTTGTGCGTTGTCAGGGAGGCCCGGTGTATGATGTGTGTGTGTTAGCTGTGCATTCTGTGTGTCAGGGATTCATGCAGTGGTATGACTGAAGATCCCTGTGTATTGAGTATGTGTGGTTGGGAGGCATGGGGTGGTTTCTGTATGAATGTTGTGTGTGAGCTGTCTGTACACACACGTGTCTGGCGTGGGACTGCGGATGTGTGTGTTGCCTGGGAGACGTGGGGTATGTTGTGTGTGAATACTGCGTGGGAGGTGTGTGGACCCATGTGTGGGACTGGGGTGTCTGTGTTGCCTAGGAGACGTGGGGTATGTTGTGTGTGTATCGCATGTGAGCTGTGTATGCAAATATGCATGTGTCTGGTGTGGGACTGTGGATGTGTGTTGCCTAGGAGACGTGGGGTATGTTGTGTGTGTACTGCATGTGAGCTGTGTGTGCAAACATGCATGTGTCTGGCGTGGGACTGCGGATGTGTGTGTTGCCTGGGAGACGTCTGTGTGAACACTGCGTGGGAGGCGTGTGGACCCGTGTATGGGGCTGCGGTGGGGCTGCAGAGGTGTGTGCGCTGTCTGGGAGCCGTGGGCTCTGCGCTCGCGGGCACGCATGCAGTCGCATGACCGCAGCGGGGCACTGGCGTGCATGGGGCCGCGCTGCCCAGGCGGTCACTCACCCCGAGGCTGCTGCTCCTGCAGCTGCAGCTGCCGCTCCTGCTCCTGCGTGTCCGGGCCCGGGAGCTCCCCGCGGGCCAACAGCGCGGCGCTGAGCACCGAGGCGGCCAGCAGCACGGCCGCCAGCGCCCTGCGCGCGCCCCACGGCCCAGCGCCCATGTCGTCGTCCGCCGCCGCCGCTGCCGCTGCCGCTGCCGCCCGGGGCTCCCGACACGCCGCCGCCGCCCTGCCGCCTTCGCTTCCTCCCGCTCCGGCTCCGGCTCCGGCTCCGGCTGCAGCTGCTGCTCCGGCCGCGGCCCCCGCTCGTGCTCGCGGAGCCCGCTCGGCACACGTCCGCTCGCCTCTGCAGCCGCCGCCGCCTCTGCCGCGGAGCCCGCCCCGCTCGTCACCCCCCGGCCCAGCAGCCGCCGCCGTCTCCTCCCCCCCCTCCCTGCGCTGAGCTGCTGTCGTCGGAGCCGCCTCCGCCATGAGTCACCGGCCGCTGGGGAGCGGGGGAGCGGGGGAGCGGGGGAGCGGGAGGGCGGGAGGGCGGGGGCGGAGCGAGCCGGAGAGGCCGGGCAGCCTCCCCGCGGCCTGGGGGCGAGCGGGCGAGTGGGGCGGGGCAGGGCGGCCGGGGAGGGGCGCTGCCCTCGGGGAGATTGCAGTCTAATGGAACCCACGGGCTTATGTGGGTGTATGGGTGTGCTGTGAGTGTGTGTGTGTGTGTGTGTGTGCTGGGCAAGACACTTCACCCTGTCTGCCTCAGTTTCCTCGTTTGTAAAATGAGCTGGAGAAGGAAATGGCAAACCACTCCAGTATCCCTGCCAAGAGCACCCCAGATGGGGTCACGAGGAGCCGGACACAACTGACAAGGCCCCAGTACCATTTAGCATCGCAGCATCTCGTAGGTGGAAGGGAGCAGAGGACAGCCTGCCCGGCCTTCACGACGTGCAGTCATCTGGCTTTCGCCGGACACCTCCGGGGAGGGCCCCACCACTTCCCTGCTGGAGCTGTTTTTTCTTGAGAAGAGCCAAAGTCTTCCTCTCCTAGAACTTCTCATAGCTCCTTGTTCTGCGCCCCGAGGTCCAGGCAGAAACGCACTCCCTCTTCCACGTGACCCCCCTTTGAATAACACAATTGCCAAGGCTTCTCTTCTCAAGGCTAACTATCTTCAGTTCCTCAGATGGTGGATCCCAGACGGTGTCCAGTACCTTCATCTTGTCAGTGCCCTTCCTGAAATGTGTGATTGCGAGACTTGAACACAGCGCTCCAGAGATGGTCTGACAATCAAGAGTAATAACTAAAACTCAGATAACACTTTTGTGAACTCTGGTTCACAATGACCAAAGAGGCACAGAGGTTTTGCAGCTGCTTTTAACTCCAAAAATGCCAAAGGGCTCACCCAAGATTAAAGCAAAAGTTTCTTTATTCCCGTGGGGGAGAGAAATTAGACCCATGTGTCGGGGCCTCCTCCAGTAGGACATCCGAGTCAGCGAGGCTAAACCTTGATTCATATATTTGAGGCTAGATAAAGAATCAAACAGCCTAGTGTAGCAGTGGGGGTGAGGCACAACAGCAAAGTGAGGCAAGGTTGTCTAGTGACAAAAAGTCCATTCATAGCAGGGCTTCATGTCAGGGCCTATTGGTGCTTGCCTAAGCTCAGGGACCATCAGTCCTGTGAGTTAGTTGCAGCAAAGTTCATTGGGAATGCAAAGGATTATTGTTATGCCAGTCTCGGGGCACAGCTTGCTTGCTGGGCTTTAGCTCTGAAGAACAGGGTGTCTAAAAAGAGAGAACTGGTCTTGGATCCTGACACTTTACAAATATTACCTCCTATATCCTCATTACAACCCTGGGAAGTAGGTACTATTATTAGCTCCGTTTTACAGATGAAATTTAGGCAAACAGAGGTTGTGACTTACCTAGCGCTAAAAAAAAAAGTCTGAGGACGTATTTGAACTCAGTGTCAGTCCATAAGCACCAACTATACCTCAGGCATGGTGCTAAATGCTGGAGATACAAAAAGACAAAAGACAATCCATGCCCTCCAAGGAGCTTAAAATCTAATGGAAATATAAAATATTAAGGCACCTTGTGAATCTTAAACAAATACACCAATGTAAGCTATTGTATTTCTAAATGCAAGAGGCTAGGGACACAACAATGGCATAGTCCAGTCCTCAGGTAGCTTTCTTTCTGGGAGGTGGGAGTGGTAGTTGTTGGTAAGTCAGTTGTGTGTATTTAGATAAATAGAATACAAATAGGAGTTGTGAGACATTGTTCTGGGAAATTTTGAGGAAGAAACAAAACTTTCAGCTGTAATCTGTGATCTTTTAGTTGTCAAATGCAATGATCTTTTTTCTGTCCTCATTCTCCTTGACCTCTGCTGCTCACTCTCTCCTCCCTGATACTCTCTTCTCTCTAAGTTTTTGGGGCACCACTCTCTCCTGGTTCTCCTCCTCCCTATCAGACTATTCCTGTCTCCTGTGCTGGATCCCCCTCTGGATCATGCCCTCTCATGATAGGTGTCCCTCAGGATTCTGTCCTGGGTCCTCTTCTTTTATCTCTTTATACTATCTATATTTGGTGATCTCATCATATTCCTATAGATTTAATTACCATCTCTACACAGATGATTCTCAAATCTAGCAATCCTACTACATCTCCAGCTGCCTCTCAGACATCTCAAAGTATTATGTCCAGTAGACATCTTAAACACAAGATGTCCAAAATGGAACTCATTATCTTCCTGCCCTCCTTCCCTATTACTGTCGAGGGTAACACCATTCTCCAGATCCCTCAGGCTCCCAACCTAGCAGTCATCCTGGTCTCCTCAGTATCTCTCACTCCCCATATCTAATCTGGTACTAAAGCCTGTCAATTTCACCTTTGCAATGTCTGTCTAACATGTTCCCTTCTCTCCTCTGATGCTGCCCCCACTCTGGAGTGGGCCCTCATCACCCCACACTTGGACTATGGCAATAACCTGTTGGTGGAGCTGCCTGCCTCAGTTCTATCACCACTCCAATCCATTCTG